TTTTGCCGGAGCCGGGTCGGCTGCGGGGGGGGCGGGCGCGATGCCGCCCTGGCTGCTGGGCAGCCTCTGCTGCTGCCTGCTGGCGGCGCGGGCGGCGCTGGGCGGCGGCTCCGCGGGCGCGGAGGCGGCGGCGGCGGAGGAGGAGGAGAAGCTGATCCGGGTGCTGGTGCTGTTGCCGCAGGACGACGCCTACCTCTTCTCGCTGGGGCGGGTGCGCCCGGCCATCGAGTACGCGGTGCGGAGCCTGCGGGAGAGCGGCGGCGGCTTGCCCCCCGGGTACGCCTTCCAGCTCACCTACGAGGACTCGGCCTGCGGCAACCGCGCCCTCTTCAGCCTGGTAGACATGGTGGCCCTCCAGCACCGGCGCCCCGACCTGCTGCTGGGCCCCGTCTGCGAATACGCGGCGGCGCCGGTGGCGCGGCTGGCGGCCCACTGGGACGTGCCCATGCTGTCGGCGGGGGCGCTGGCCGCCGGCTTCGGCGCCAAGGGCGGCGAGTACTCGCACCTCACCCGCGTCGCCCCCGCCTACGCCAAGATGGGCGAGATGCTGCTGGCCCTCTTCCGCCACCACCAGTGGAGCCGGGCCACCCTGCTCTACAGCGACAGCAACCCCGAGCGCAGCTGCTACTTCGCCATGGAGGGCGTCCATGTGGTCTTCCAGGAGGAGGCCTTCCACATGGCCGTGCACAGCTTCGACGAGAACAGCCGACACCTCGACCTCGACGACGTCGTCCGCACCCTCCAGACGGGCGAGAGGGGTGAGTTGGCGGCGGGGGCGGACGGCGGGGCTCCCGGGGGGTGTTGGGTGGTGGTGGGAGCGCTGGGAAGGTCCAGGGAAAGTGAGGGGAGTCTCATGGCGTTCCCACCCGTGGGGAGGCTCATTGCTGTGCTGTGCCGGGCATCCCTGGGCCGGGCATCCCCCACCGGCTGCCCCGAGAGTAAACTGTGCCCACAGAAGCTCATTAAGATGGTGAGGGGTCTGGAGCACAAGTCTTATGAGGAGAGGCTGAGGGAACTGGGGTTATTCAGCCTGGAGAAGAGGAGGCTGAGGGGAGACCTTATTGCTCTCTACAACTCCCTGAAAGGAGGGTGTAGAGAGGTGGGGATCAGTCTCTTTTCTCAAGTCACAGGCGACAGGACAAGAGGAAATGGCCTCAAGTTACGCCAGGGGAGGTTCAGGCTGGATATTAGAAAAAAATTTTTCACTGAAAGGGTTCTCAGCCATTGGAATGGGCTGCCCAGGGAGGGGGTTGAGGCCCCATCCCTGGAGGTGTTCAAAAGAAGGGTTGATGTAGTGCTGGGAGGTACGGGTTAGTGATGATGCTCCTTGTTTGTTGTGCAGGTGTCTATTTTTGTCAGTTAGGTTGACGGTTGGACAAGATGATCTTTAAGGTCCCTTCCAACCTAGAAGATTCTGTGATTAGAGCTTTGCCTCCTGTGGTGGAGGGGGAGGCTCACCCTGGGGGACCATGCTGGCCGGGTTCGGTGGCATAGTAAGAAATCAGCTTTCTGCTGGCAATCTGGGTTACCCCAAATCACCCACGTCTGCAGAGCAGCAAATCTGTTGCTTATTCTCCGAGGTTTTTGAAGTGACTCTCTGCAAGTTCAAAGTCTAAGCAGAGACGTTTTCTTCTCACCCTGCTGTGTCTTGCTGTGGGGATCCTTTTCCCCGCTCCTGCCGTGGGAAGCCCTGTTGAGTGCTTCATAAATAACAAATGCATTCAGGGGAAGCGGTCGTTTTGGGGGATGTGTGGATGCAAAAACCGTGAGTGTGTGCAATAATATTGCCACCAACTGTTAGCAAAACAGCGTGGAGATAAATGGCTTGTAAAACATCTTGGGAAGTCACCCCTGGGCTGGATGAACTGGCTTTGCGTCATGAAGTAGTAAAATGCTGAAAGTGCTTTGGGACGTCTGAATTTGTAGTTAGATGTGTTTTAAAGTGAGGAGATCCCACTGACCGATGTGTGGATATGTGGGCTTATCAAAAAGGCATCTTCTGTTAGAGGCTTTCACCAGCCCCAGGCTTCCCTGGTAAGTTACTGAAAAAAAAAAAGGTGTATTCCAGGAGTGGACCACAAGATCAAGTTAAAGAAAGTCCTTAGCTGTTCTCCAAAAGAGATGTAGATGTACAGAGTGTTTTGTATGATTTTTACGTCCCTGGTAGTAGAATGTTAAAATAGCATCAAAATTGGGCTGATAGAGATCATGCCATGTGGACAAAGTAGCCTTGCACTGCCGGTGTCGTTACGCTGCTATGAAATACTTAACGTGTGCAGGAGCGTGGGTGCGAGAACTGACGTCTGATGGCATGTGGCTCTTCACCAAAGCAGGTGCTTAAAATAGAGCTTTCCTAGTAAGTACCGTTCAGGGAAATACACTGAATGGAGAGAAAGAAACGTGTAAGTGCCAGGGGAAGCCGCTGCGTGGGGAAAGATGCTTTTCTTTTTTAATGAGCTTAACTTTTGTGTGTGCATGTTTGGCTTTCCTGATGCAAAGAGCATAACAACATGCTAATGGCAGGAAAAGGTGATGTTTGCCCTTGGTCAAAGGGAGCTGTGGCTAAAGGCAAACCCAGCTCCTCAGAGGCGCTGACAGTCTGGGAAGAGAGGCTTGCTTTCAGCCTGGGCTTAAACGCTTTGATGAGCTGAGACCTTTGGTCTTACATCATTCTGCGAATTACTGAACAAAAGCAGCCCTCTGACTTACTTTGTTCCCCCCCGTTTTGCCCTGTGGGGTCCCCTCCCTCTGTCTCGCCTCTTTATTTGTCCTCTGGCTTATGCTACTACAGTGAAATGCAGCAAGTGGGGCCATTCAGCTTCCACTTGTGTCTTTCCGAGTTTGAAGGCTGACTGCAGGACTCGCCTGGGACGTTTCTCTGGGCCTTAGGAGTGGTCCTGCCATTCACAGCATCTTTCAGGCTGACCCAGTATTTTAAGTCATATGTAATGTGAAAGATGCACCATGTACCTTAGCTGACCAGATGGTCTTCATTTCTCCTGAGAAATCCTTGGAGGGTCCCCCCAGTGGGGCAGGAGGGCTTGTGGCAACAGGGCACTGTCCAGAGCACTTTCAAGAAATGTTTTGAGTTGCTTTGGCTTTTGTGTCACACCTATTGTCCTGTACTCTGACCTTGCACCTTCTCTGTTTCCAGAGACTGCTGCTAATGATGGTCCCATCTGAGTGGTGGGGCTTTCTTGAGCCACCTGGAGTGGGAGTGGGCTTTCAAACTGATATGGGATACCTACCTGAAACTCTCCCAGGGCTGAGAAAAAAGCTGCCCCCTTTGCTGGCCTGTGGGGACCCAGGGCAGAGCCTGGCCCCATGGGTTGGGTTGCTGCTGGCTGGGGTTTTGCATGGAGCTCTGGGGGGTCTGGGTGGCAGGGGCACCCTCAGCCACGTACCCACATTTTCCAGCGGCTGCCTGTTGAGTCTCTGCAACCACTTCAAAAGATTCAATTCTTGGAGACACAACAGATCTTCCAGGCTTGTATTGGAATAGCATGGCCAGCAGGAGTAGGGAAGTGATGGTGCCTCCAAACTGGGCATTGGTGAGGCCTCACCTCGAGTACGGTGTTCAGTTCTGGGCCCCTCACTTCAAGAAGGACATTGAAGTGCTGGAGTGTGTCCAGAGGAGAGCCACCAAGCTGGTGAGGGGTCTAGAGAACAAAGAATATGAGGAGAGGCTGAGGGAACTGGGGTTGTTTAGCCTGGAGAAGAGGAGGCTGAGGGGAGACCTCATTGCCCTCTACAACTCCCTGAAAGGAGGGTGTAGGGAGGTGGGGGTTGGCCTCTTCTCCCAAGGTAATAATGACAGGATCTGAGGAAATGGTCTGAAGTTGCGACAGGAGAGGTTTAGGTTAGGTATTAGGAAGAATTACTTCACTGAGAGGGTGGTCAGGCACTGGAACAGCCTGCCCAGGGAGGTGGTGGAGTCACCATCCCTGAAGGTATTTCAGAAACGTGTAGATGTGGCACTTCAGGGCATGCTCTAGTGGCTGAGATTGGGGGGGTCTTTTGTATGTGTATGGTTGGACTCGGTGATCTCAGAGGTCCTTTCCAACTATGGTGAGTCTGTGAAAATCATGATGAAAAATACAATGATAGAAGTTAACCACTTGTCTTCAATGAATTTCATTGTTAGTTCAAGCTCCCTGGTGGGCTCCTTTAGCCACGCTGCAGACCTGGTGAGGTAGGCTCAAGTTAGTCGCAATGATCACAAACCCAGGGCTTAAACATGTTCTGCGTAAGCTCATAGTCCGAGGGTTGTGTGTAGTGAAGGAACACTCCTTTAACTGGAATTAAACTCTCAAGTGTTTGTAGGATGAGTCAATAACCCTAGTCAATACATCCAGCATATTAGCATGAAAATCACTGTGGTCTGTGTGTATTATACGGGAGGGAGAACATTTTGTATGTGTTTGCACGTACACATTTGTATGTACACAATAGTAAGGTACAGATGCAGATTACTTTACATTTTTGGAAGATTTTGAGAGACCTGCCCATATTTTATTTGCTTCAAAATCTTGAAATATGTAATCATTGCTCTCCTACTGGCGTAAAAACCATATCCAAATAGTTAATATTACTTCCCTTACATTCCTTTAGAGGCTTACAAAATATGATTTAATGTGTTTTAAAGTAGGTTTTTTCCCCTCACTTTTTTTTTCTTTCCTTTTGCTCAAGGTCTTTTACTGCTGTTATGGGAATCTCTTTGATTCCATCTACAGATTACAATTTTATGATAGATGTGAATTATAAAGGTGAAGTTGAGGGAGAATTGGGAGGCCAGCAAGGAAACATTTCAAAAGGAAATATCTCACCTATACTGAAATTAGGAACAGTGAGACAAATTCGTTCCTGATGTGCGTCTGGAAAAGATTTGATCCAAATTTTATTGTAAGAAAATTTTTTTTTTCATCTTCTTTCCTTCATGCTAATATACTTCACAATGGTCATGAAATATGTCTTGCTCTGTTGCTCTGGAAATTATTATATTACTCTGCTGTAATCAGGAGGACAGAGCTACGCATGGTATAACTCTCCTGAAGCGTGGGGATGTACCGAACGTGACTTACCCCAGCACCGCATCTGGAGCTTTATGCCTGTGATGGCATCCAACCAGAGAAGCGATGGAAGAAGATTCATTGTGTGTGAAAAGATTTGGCCTGTTTGGCCTTTTTCATTTCTCATAATAGCAAACATTTCTACCCAGAAAAGCTGAATGTGGTTTTGATTCAGTTTTATTGTTGGGGTGAAAGTATTTGCGTACGTTATCGTAGCTTTTGAGGCCTGCCATGCGTGACGGTGTTCTTGGAAACGTGCATGCTGTTGGTTTCGAGTCATCGTCCCAACAGGATCTCTTATGACTTTGCTGTAGGATATAGCCCTGAAGCACGCACTGATACAATGCTTTACTGCTGTCTGTGATGTCAGTAGCTTCATACCCGCAGTCTTGTGAACCTGTATAAAAGTTCATGGTATAAAGTGCTCAGTGTGGGAGGTGTCTCCCCATTGCTGAAGACATCACCCGAGTTCCTGCTTTCCCTTTGCAGGGGGTAGAGTAGCAATGGGGGTAGTTCACCCTGCCCAGCAGGTTGTGGAAGAGACCTCTTGACTACTGTTGTCACAGTGTGGATCATGGTGCCCACAGGGAGGACACTTGTGGGCTTGTAGATCCTGCTGTAGCAGCGGAGCCCCTGCTTATCTCGTGGTCCCTGATAAATAAGCCTCTGATACCTTTAATCTTGTAACCACCTTTAAGCTTCATGCTCAGAAAGTGGCACTTGCTTTTCCCATTTCTGAATATTAAGCATCCCATCAAAGGTCATTGCCTAGGCTTATTTTATGGTCTCTGGAGAGAAAGTCAGATCCTGGAGACATTCATACCAGCTGCAGAGATGCTGCTCTATGTTAACTGTAAAGAGGCAACAGATTCTAGCCCAGATACCTAAATTTTAGATAGATGAGGTGTAGGTGAGAGTCTACACCAAACTGTTCAATAGAATGGAGATTAAAATGGGAGTGTCATCGAGTCACCTTAATTCTTCAGATTGTCTTGTGTCCACTTAAAAGTAACAACAGAGGCTTATGGTTGCAGTCAGCTCTATGAATGCATGCAGTTGAAAATATGAAAAGCTACAACTTACTACATGTTGGAGGGGTAAAATCACACAGATCATACAGAGGCACTATGTGATTATTTTCAGAGGAGACAAGGGAGTAGGAAGCCTCTCCGTGGTTGATACCTGTCTTCTGTCGGCTGTCTGGGAAATCGGCCTCCTTTGCCATCTGCATTGTCAATGTTTGTTGCAACAAACTGGGAGGACAGCTGGGGTCACTGTCTCTGGCAGCCTTCATGCTTAACAGGCTGTTCCCTGAAGTTCTTGAACTGCTCCTTATCTGTGTTTTCCATTTTCTTCCACCAGTTGTAATCATGTGTGCCAGCGGTGACACAATCAGGAACATCATGTTGGCTGCTCATCGGCAAGGAATGACCAATGGGGACTACGCTTTCTTCAATATTGAACTCTTCAACAGCTCATCATTTGGTAATGCTTTTCCTGCCTGAGTATGTTGCATGTAAGCCTGGTAATATTTTAAGATCTGATAGCCTCAAAATATGCCACATTGAATCCCAGAATACACCACTGTCTCTTCTTGTTGCAGTTACTTTCCCCTTGGGCTATGGTATTGCGAGAAGGGATCTCACAGCTATAATTGCCACTGCGTGGATGACAAGATGCACTGTAGTGCATCTTACTTAGCTACTTGTAGGAGAACCAGCACCAGATGGAGACATTGGTTATAGCAGCCAGGTGTGGGTACCCCGTGCTGCAGTGTGTGCTCAGATCTAGGTGGGCTGCACCAACCCCAGCCTTGTGATGCCACATCTCAGGACAGGGCTACTCCTGGCTGCCTGGTGGCCTGCAGTCTGTGCAGACAGCTTGAAGAGGACCATACCAATGGCTGGGGCTGTGGGCAGCTGCACGACCTGGGTCTCCAGAAGTCATCTCTGTGCTGGGGGATCCACACGTCTAATGTTCTACAGCTTTTGATCAGAAACTGCATCTGCAAAAATATTCAACAATGTTGAGTTGAAGGGAAGGCACTGGATGGGAACAAACGGTCCAAATTTACTAGAGTAACATGGATAACAGTGGCTGATTCTGCCCCGAGAGTAAAAAGGATCAGATTTGTAAAATTAAAACATGACTTTAAAATGTAAATTACATACATTTGCCTTTTGAAATATGCCTACGTTCAGTTGCATTTGATGTTATGTTAGTGCATGGCAGGGACTAAACCTGCTCTCAGCTGCTACAGAGCAAGCTAATACTGGAGCAACGTGTTTGCTGCGTTTTAAACAACATCAGATGGCTGGAGCTGAGGCAAGTTCATGCCTGGGAACGAGGCTTTGTTGAAGTGTCAACATGGCTTTTGAAAGGAGCAGCCTCTTTTGCAGGTGCAGAGAAAATAATTCCCCCCTTGCAGGCTGCATTAACTAATCCACTACAACAACAAATTCATTTCAGATTGAAAACCAGCTGGGAGTTGAGAAAGAAAGAAAACTTGGTTTTTTTTTCCTTTCTTTCAAGTCTCAAAAAGCTGACCAACAGGAACAACTAAATTCTCAAAAGGATGATGTAGTTTGGTTAATACATCAGTTAATTGTAAGTTAAATTCCTTTGCATAAACTTTTTGTTACCCATCTTTCACCTCTGAGATTATTTCACAGTAAGCAGTGCAGTTTGTCGAAAAACTCTATAGTGAATGCATGTAACTTTGAATTTAGAGATATACATACATACAAAAGTACAGATACTGCCACATGTATCATCTAGGCTAGCTAAAGAAGTGCCAAGCTTTGCTAGACAATAAGGAAGTCGTTTAACTAAAAGATAAAGTTGCAGAACAAGATCAAAGACAATGGTTTGAGTCAAGGTTTTCTTTTTGTTGAGTTGTATTTGCAGTGACTTGACTTTATCCCTTGTGGCATAAGCAAAACCATTTGGCACTGCAGCCTTAATCAGGATCAGAGGAAAAAGCTGAAGGTCTACCCGTATCAGCAGTCACAAAACCCTGAAGTTTTGACCCTTCTGTAGACCCTGGGAGCTTTGCAGCCTTGACTTTGCTTGAAACCACTGATCAAATAACCCCTCTGGCTGCCGGCGGCAGCTCATTACCACTGTGCTACCACTGCATTTCATCTCACAGAGCAGAAATGCATCAGAAGCGATTTATCTGGCCAAAGGTACAAGTCTGTGTGTGAGCTGGGCTCCCTTTGGAGTGGCAGGAGAGAAGGCAGCACCCCCAGAGAGCAGCGAGGTGAGGGGGCGATACCTCTTTGCCCTGTGGTCATGTGGGAGCTGCAGCACCATCCTCCTTTGCATCACAGTCCTCTTGTAGCTTTTCCAAGGGATTAATGAAAACTGTCTGTCTTCTGATGTAGTATAGCTAGAACGTGGCATTTCCTGACATTTCTAAGTAATAATTCTTTTAAACCAATTTTTTCTGTTTCTTTGTGGATGTGTTTCCCATGAAGAGTGAAATGACTGTGCATCAGGAGCTGACTTTTGTGCAGATGGTCATCACATGTGGAAAGCAAGCATAAAAAGAGAAATGTAGAGAAATTCTCTCAAAATTCCTTGTTCCCAGTGCCTGGAGGTACTAGATTTTCTACCTTACAAAAGGTGCAAAATCTAAGAGTGGGAGTGATAGGCAGAATGGCACTTTGCCTTTAAGTTCAGATGACTGTATTGCAGTTTGTTGTTGCCCTCTGTTCTGAATATTTTTAATTTTTCAGAAGAGGCGGCGTATGAAATGCCAAGGCTGCAATAATTGCACATAAGTACTGTGGCAAGACGACCTCCTGCAATATAATCCATAAAGGAATTTAAATATGTAAAATATTTTAGGAACACTGTTATGCAAGTTCACTTTCCCTGCTCCCAGTGTCAGGATTTTAAAAAATAAATATGTATAGTGTTCAGGACAGAAACTTATTCACACTCTAACAGCACTACCTTTTTTTTTTTTTATGTCTATAATCTCACTCTTTTTACCCATCTGCATTTGTAAATGCAAAGCCATAGCAAAGCCCTCTGGGCTGTAGTCTCTGCCGTACTTCTTGAGTACTGCACCTCTGAGATGTGGGTACCTGGCTGGGGTAGAGGCTTTTCAGTTTTGAGGCTCCGTCAGGGCTTGTACCCTCTTGTGGGGAGGCCAGCAAGATGTGTGAGCTTACAGCTGCCAGATGTGCAGGACTTTCTTCTTCCAAGCAGTAACAAGGACAGTGTGCAGGCACTGAAGGAATACTGCTACCTCTGAGGGCAAAACCAGATGGTGGGATGTAGTTGCTCTCCAGTGTTTCCATCAGATCTGATGAACGGCGTCCTGGTGTAGATAATATTGAATTTTGACCAGTTAGACTGGAGCTTCTTCCTAAGAGAATGAAATCACTCACTCACCCCCCTCCTCTCTCCCCGCCCCCTCCCCCCCCAAAAAAGAGAGAAATTAAGAATTAATAAGTTTCATGGTATTTATAAATATGACAGTCCTAGCTGGTGCTGAACTATGGTAAATAAGGCTTTCCTGGGGTGGAAAAGAGAAGAAGTAAATGGATTTGGGTTGTCCTGTGCCTCCCACCCTGTGCTGGGAGTGATAGAACCTGCCCGGGAGCCAAAAGCAGCAAGAGAAAGACTTGTCTTCCAGAAAGGCACAGGTCCTTTGTTCCTTCCCCTGTGCTTTCTGAGGAAACAGAAATTCTCCCATTGCATTTATTGTCAAAAAATATGTGTGGGGAAAAACAGAAGTCCCAGCAGCAGTGCAGGGGTACTGGGAGACAAAGTGCAAGGCTCTGTATTCACCTGCTTCAGGGGGACTGGGGTTGTCTGTCCATAAATTTGCTCTTGCAGGGGTGTGATGCAGCTGGTAGTGCTGTGCAAGGAGCACCGTGGGTTCGATGCCTGGACTCCATCTCTGTTGGCATCTCCACTCCCAAACCACTTGCTTCTCTTGGTGTAAATGACACCATGGTCCTCGACCCAAGCAAAGCAGCCACATCCTCTCTCATCTCAGGATCCCGTGTGCCTCCAGGTTGCCCTTGGGAGCTTGTCATTAGTCCTCATCTTGGCTCATTTAGCCATGATGGGGTAGGTGCTGTTGTTTGAAAAATGACTGACACTTAATTTTTCATAGGCATTTAAAGGCACACTGCGTAGAGCTACTAATGTTCCCTCTAGGCCTCTTATATTTACCATTTACGTAGAATAACACAAAACCTGGCCCAGAGCAATGTGAACCTTTCCACTGATCTCGTGAAACTTTAGATTGGGATCTTAGGACTTGCTAAGGTCAGGCCCTGTTAGGGAGGACTCCTCTGCTAATTAACAACCAGTCAGCTTTCCTGCTTGTTAAAAATCTGGTTGCTTTGCTGGTGGTCTGAGTTAACGAAACACATGTACACATACAGGATAGGCGCAGGATCCCTTTTTATTTCTAAGTGTTTCTTTTTCACTAAGAGCAGGGCTCGTCTGGCAGCCACTGCACACATGGTTTTCTCCTTGACCTCAGTGGGAGAGCTGTCGGAGAAGAAGCTGCACCATCTGCCTCCCATGCGGGGTGATGATCATACTATTGACTTTATTGGTGCCTTTCTGACTGCCCAAGAGTGTTGCTGGTGGAGTGATGTGTAACAAAAACTTTGTGGTCAAATATTCCTTGAAGTTAAGTTTTAACTTAAATATCTCTGTGTTTGAGATCTGGCACATGTTTTTTGCTCTGAGATGTCTTCTCACACTTAGGCTTCATCCCACCCTTTAAAAATAAGCAAGCACAGCATGGGAGTAAAGTTGTCCTTCAGTTTGCACATTTACTTCCCAGTCATTCCTCCCTCCCTGGTTTCCTGCACATCTTGGAACAGGTTCAGATCTCCCTTGTACTTTTTCATCTCCCCAAGGTGCAGGAGAGGGGATAAAGGTTTTCATCCCCTTTTCACCCTCTTTCTGGGTGAAAAGAGGAAGCAATCCTGTAGTGATACCTAATTTGGAGTTGGAAATATGCTTGATTTCCCCTTAGGAAATGGTTCTTGGAGAAGAGGAGACAAACACGACCTTGAAGCCAAGAAGGCATACTCATACCTCCAAACCGTCACTCTGCTGAGGACCGTGAAGCCTGAGTTTGAGAAGTTTTCACTGGAGGTGAAAAGTTCTGTTCAGAAGCAAGGTCTGCATGAGGATGACTATGTAAGTACTTGATGACAGGCTTCATGTCTTACCATCTTCAAAACCATGCTCCTAAATAAAGCAAAACTAGCAGCGAGTTCTTACCAGGACAGAATCACCTGGGTTCGGTTGTAAAATACCACTGTTCCCTATATAATATCTTCTTTTATTTTTTTTCCCCCTTGTGGATAGTGCAAATAACAGGAATAGGCTTGGTCTGGGTTCACTAGGTCTGTGCACCACCATTCATGACCAGTTGTCTTGTATGTATCCCTTAGTGCATCAGCAGCGAGGTTGGGGAAGAGCAGATTGCCTGGTCTCTCTCCTCCTACCAGTCACTTGGCTTTTTTTTTTTTGTAGAATCATATCTCAGAAAGTTACACTCTCTGTATTGCATCTGATGAAATTTTTCTTGATGTGAATGAGAAATGTGGTCTGATTTCCCAATTAAGCATATTTAGGTTGTTGCTGTTGTTTATTTTAAACTGTCTAAAATATCAGTGTAGGCCTTGTGAGTTTGTTTTAAGCCTAAGGAAGTGCCGTTGTCCTCCAGAGATGGATGTAGGAAAGTACGTCTTTTTTTTTAATCTTTCCAAATGTAGGAGGAAGATGCCTCTGAAAATTGCTTTTGAACTGCTGCTAAGCTAGTTCATTAGGCATTTTCGTAGAAAAGCCTTCTGTGAAGGCAAGAATGTATAGCACATACCTACAGGGATTCCTGCGTGCTCATACAAGTACTTCCCAGATGGTCAGCCCTCCCCATCATGGGGACTAGACTTTTCAAATATGCTTAAAAAGAAAAAAAGCTCACAGAGAGTTTGGTTAGTCTTTAGCTGTACGAAATAGGAATTTATACCTGAAACTCAAGAAAGCAACCCAAACTCCGCATTTGCCAGGTCCCAGTTAGGCAGCTATCTCATCTCTTTGCTTTAAGCATTGTGTCCCTCACAGGTAGAGGCATCATTTTAGTTTGAAGCACAAGCTGATTAACTTCAATGTTGTGCTAATAAATTACCTTTCTTGCAGTTTATTGCATAACCTCAGCTGCCTTCAGAAAACCTGTGCTGCTTAGAACTTGAATATATTTTATTTAAATATTTCACTTAAAATGTTGTTTGAATCACATGACTGGCTTATAGCTTTCCTGTAAAGTTTTCAAAGTCCAGGCAGGGAGAATTAGTCTTTTGTTGGCATTCTTTGCCTTGGGTTGGTGGAGAAACCCCAACTGCGAAGTTCAAGGTGCAGCACTCTGCAGAACCTGCTAAATGAGTTTTGAACAAGGCATGGGACTGTAATTTGTGCTATTCCTCCCTTTTCCCTCTATGTGCCCTTTTGCAGGTGTCACTTAACAAGCTACGTACCTTGAAAATCTGCCATGTGCTCTTGGTTGTGGTTGTTGAGAAATGTGATTTTTGAGTATTAAAGACCCAGTCATCCACAACTTTGTGGCTTTTCTATTCTGGGCAGCGTGACATCTCCTCAGATGTTGAACTGCCAAGAGCTCAGGGTGCTGTCTGTGGGTGGTTTGGAGGCAGACAAAGGGGATGCTTTTGCTGGACCCACTGCAAACCCTTTGCAAGTTCAGGGTCGATAGACACAGGGTAGGTGCAAGCCCTGTTGTGGTCACGCAGCAGCGGATACATGAGAGACCAAATTCCCCTGTGCCAGCAGGGGGGAGATTTTGCAGGCTAATGTGTTTGTTGGGGAGACTTCTTGCACACCATAGCTGCATACCCACTGCCAGAAGTCCTCTTTTCTCTTTCCTCACTCCATGGTTGGTTGTGCAATCAGCCATCTGTACTGGCAGTGCTCTTGCTGACCCAAGGCAGCTGCGCGAGTGCCTGGCTCCCTACTGCCTTGTCCTTGACCTTCTTCTGCCTGGCTCTCAGGGCTGCCTCTCCCTATATCCCATTCCTACCTGTGATCCAGAGCTTCTCATCTTGCTCTGAGGAATCCCTCACCCAAAAACATTAGTCTTAGCTAGGCCCAGGCAGTAGCATGGGGCCCTCTTCCTGCTGCTGCGCTCCTGCTCCTCTTCCTGCTCTTCCTTTCCCACTTGGCTTTCTGCATCCTTCCCAGTCTCTTCTTGTTGGGGCAGAGGGAGGACTTGTGATCTATGTGCACCTACCACAGCTTCCTGCCACCTTAAACAGCAATCCTTCACTCACAGCAAGCTCGTGGCGGAGGCCATATTCCTGCCACCTTAAACAGCAATCCTTCACTCACAGCAAGCTCGTGGCGGAGGCCATATTCCTGCCACCTTAAACAGCAATCCTTCACTCACAGCAAGCTCGTGGCGGAGGCCATATTCCTGCCACCTTAAACAGCAATCCTTCACTCACAGCAAGCTCGTGGCGGAGGCCATATTCCTGCCACCTTAAACAGCAATCCTTCACTCACAGCAAGCTCGTGGCGGAGGCCATATTCCTGCCACCTTAAACAGCAATCCTTCACTCACAGCAAGCTCATGGCGGAGGCCATATTCCTGCCACCTTAAACAGCAATCCTTCACTCACAGCAAGCTCGTGGCGGAGGCCACAGAGACCTGGGGTCCCTGTGGAGGAGCTACAGACCATGGATATAGGGGGAACAGGGTTTGCTTTTCATCATTTGTGATTAATTTTACATTTCCACACTTCAGGCAGTGGGAAAGAGACGTTTCATTTTCCCTTAACTGATTTTCCTGCTGCCATGTTCATAGGGGAACCATTTCAGGGCGACCTTCAGGCTTAAGAAAAAAAAATCCATTTTAAAAAATAATGGGGAAAGTAAAAAGCCAAACTGAGGGCCTTCCTCTCTGAAAGATATGTGGGTAAATGGGCACCTCATTAACGGTGCTTTCTTCTGGCAGCATGGGAAAAAAGTGGCAATTTTGACCCGGGTGTGCACTAAGCAAGGCTGTGTCCTGCAAGGAAAACTTGGGAGCGAGAGGTCCTTTAGCTGAGTGGGTGGGAAGTGACAGAGATGGATTTTTCTCTGCTGGATTCAGCTCCTGAAAACAAAAAGTCTGCAGAAAGATAGTCGGTGTTACAGTCCATCTCAAGTCCTATCCGTGGATGTTGAAATATAATCCTCATCCTTTTCTGCAAGCTGTGTCCCGAGAGGATGAGCTCAGGGAGGTTTGGATTTGAAGCATTCAGTGTTTCTGCTTCTCTGTGTGGATTCTTCCAGTGTCATGGGAAAATGGGGCCCCGGGTCCCTGCTCTAAATTATCTTGCAGTGACCCTAACTCAAACAAAAGTTGTTAGCACTGCCATTTTGTCCTGGCCTCTTGCCAGCAGTATTCCTAAAGGCATTATTATCAACCAAAAGAGAATATAATAAAATGGAAAATAAGCAGATGACAGAAGGAAAGATAAGGGAGACAAAAAGGGCAAAGTCCTAAAGCAGCAGCTGTCCAATTGCGGGAATGGAGAACACATATGGCCCTTGGAGGAGTAACAGGTCAGAGATTGTTGTTGGCCGTCTTCATTTCCAGCTGTGAAATCAGACAGAAAAGAGAAAAACTTGTGGGTACGTCCTTCCCAGGTCAGAAATGGCTGTTGTTGCTGCATGGGTGCTGCGCTGCAGCAGGGAGGAAGGTAGAAGAGCCTGCACCTTGTGAGTGAGCAGGGAAGTTGGGAGAAGGCAATTTCTCTGATTCCTCCAGGAATCTCTCTTGTGAAGGAAACAGCTTCCTTAAGCACCTTTTCACTAAACAGCATCAGAAGTAAGAGTGGGATAGAGGTTCTGAAAAAGCATCGTAGAAGTATTTGGTTGGGTAGGTAGTAGTTGCACAGAACGGGGCTAAAAATGATGATGTTCCTGCCTGCAGTATCCCATTGCAACATCCCATTGCGACAGCTGCCTGAGTCCGTTAGCAAATATTATTAGTTTGCTTGGTCACCACTTTCAGAGCCTGAAAGCAGTTACTGTCATGTTAATATAACCCAAAGAACTGTGGGCTGACGCATTGGATCTGCTCAGCCCTCGTTTCAGCATTTAATAGTGTCATGATTTTTTTTTTTTTTTTCAAGAAACATCCTGTAGTTCTGTAGAAAGCCTGACTGTTTTATTTCAGGCCTACCTGGAGACTGACTTCTCTGATAAAATAGCCAAAGAAAGAGGAATTTTTTACGGAAGTCCATTCATATTTGGCAATGAGGTGTAAGGGCAGTAGAATCAATTTAATGCTATTAGAGAAATTATAGCAGTTTTCTTATTTCTGTCATGTTAATGCTTTACCAGGACACTAAAAACATGTCCTGGTCTCTATAAACCAATTGAAATCCTTGGTTTAATTACAAAAACTCTGCTTGCTGACCTGTAGCCTAGGTGAGGCAGACAGCAATGGGAATTGCATGCATTTACTTGAAGGAAAAATCTGAAACTGTCTCTGAACTGGTGTGTCAATAACTCCCAACAGATACTCTAGTTAAAAATGTTTATGAATAAATAGTGTTTCAGTTAAAGTATATGCATAAGCCATTTTTATTAAATAATGCCGAACACTTAATGAATTGGCGGTAGCCTGCAGTTTGGAAGCTCTTAATGCACCTTCTGTTCCCAACTCAGGCCTAAGATTCAATAAATGCTTTTTTTATGTCCAACCTAGTATTCTGAGCTGGGATGATTTTACAGCCTGGGATATTTGCTCTTCTGAGGTTACAGACCACCCATGGCTTGTTTTTTCTTCTCATTTAAAAGCTGAAAATGTAACTAATTAAACAAATATTTCTGCTGTGTTAACTACATGACAGCATTGTTTGCGAGGTGGATGCGTGGGTTTTATCCTGTCCACAGCCCTTTTCACAGGAAAATGAGCAGCAGGAGAAGGGAACTGGAGCACAATTTGCCTGTAAAATTATCTCAGTGAAAGAATGAGCTACGCAGATTAATTAAATCAGTGAGATACTACTACCTATTAGAAAGGGCAAGTCTGTTTTATTTAACATTTTCAGTCTTCTGAAATGAGAAATAGTCTGCGTAAGAGCAACTGTTCGAGCTCCAACAGTTAACTACAAAAGCTACGTGGGAGGTAGCTGTGCTCATAAAATTTATCATCTCATCCATAACATCCGTGCCAGACTCTCTTCCCCGTGTGTATTCCTTACGTCAGCCTTTTAATTAGGATTGTACACCAGCTAAGATAAGGTTTGGGAGAAGTGAGCAATTCAGTCATGTCACTGAGAGGGACACTGAAAATGTAATCTATTCAGCACTGTGCATCCCACTTGCCTTTTTTCAGGCACGGACAGGCAAGATTAATGACAGGCAGGCTTTTGTGTCTCTTCTGACTACACCAGGATGGGAGAGAGTTTTGGGGAGATTTTTTAAAAAAAAAACAAAACCCCAACCCTGCCAACGAATAATTTGTCCAAATGAATAGGTCTATTCAGCTGCTGGAGTGCTTTGCTAATTGTGTTTGAAAGAATAAAAGCAAACCACAAGCTGCTTTCAGCAGCCGGAAAGAACGGGTTCACATGCCAGCTTATTAACAAGATGAATTCTATTAGTAAAACATATTTAGGATTTTCGCGACCAGCCCTTCACCCCATGGAATTAATGAGAGTTTCTTCAATTTCTGTAAGAGCAGTGTTGAACTCTGGACTGCTAAATTGGGTGAATACAGCAGACACTTTTTTTTTTTCCCCTGAAGTTAATGCTTTCTCAGTGATTTGAAAGACTAGTGGCTTCCACATCGGGGTCTTAGGCAAAGCTGCAGCGTAATAGTATGTTATTTGCCATTAACAGATGTCATAAAAGACAGTACAAGAAAGAAAGAATTATTTTTCTCTCTTCCAGTGGATTTCTGTTTAGTTTTTCTAGCCTGTCTAAGCACATTTTTGAAGCTGTCTTAAACCATGGAGAAGATAGTATGAAACCATAGGTATATCTGAAAATAGTAACATCTGGACTCTTTGGGAATGTAAAAATTTAGAGTTGATCTTCATATAGATGTTGTATATTTTCCAAAGCCCCATGTTTTTACTTGGGTTTCACAGATATTCACATTCCACTTTACTAAACAGACACTCAGACATTTACAGGCCAGGCACTCTCCCTTTGAAGGACTTGCTAGAAATACACCTTATTTTCCACTAATAAAGTGTGTAAAATATGTCTTCCAGCAAAGTTCATAACCTGTTTTTGTTTTTAATGCCTCTCCGTGCCATTTGTATGGCTAAGGATCCAAAAGCTAATTTGTCCCATTGGGGCCCTGTTTTTATGTAAATTTGTAGGATTTCTGATACTGTTATTAAATGGTTTGTCAGGTTTGGCTCTAAGATGTTTGAATGAAGGCAAGAAAAGACTATATATCTCATTTTGATCAAAATGACACTTAAAAAATGTCCTTTGCTAGCTGGCTTTCTAGCAGCTAATACCTTCTTCTATGAGTCTTGTTCCCTGAGTAGCTGATGAAAATAAAGCTCAGTTGAAAGTTTCTTTTTTAACTGGAAAAAATCCTCAGCTCAACAAGGCATGAAGCAGGAGGTTTGGGTGAGCCTGTCCCCTGTCAGGATGCTACCATAGCCAGAAGCAGGGTACTGAGTGGGCTGCTGGAAGCTGTTTTCTCATGGGAGTGGTGTTCTTGCTGGATGGCGAGGGTCTACCTGTGAGGGTAGCCTCAAGCTGCTGTAACATAGGCTGGGTGGAGACTTCAGTGTTAATCACAGAACGATTTGGGGTTAAAACTTAAATCAGTTAAACATAATCAGTTTAATCACAGAATAATACGGGGTTGGAAGGGACCTCTGGAGATCATCTAGTCCAACCCCCCTGCCAAAGCAGGCCCACCTAGAGCAGGTTGCACAGGAACGTGTCCAGGCGGGTTTTGAATGTCTCCGGAGATGGAGACTCCACCATCTCTCTGGGCGGTTTCAGAGAGTTTGATTAGGAGGGTGGCAAGGGTTGAGGAGAAGGAGCCACATTTTATTTTCTTTAGGGACATAAAGGAAGGACAATTTTTCAAGACCAGAAATGTGTATTCCTTGTTTGAGAGCTCCAGGGCAAATGAGGTGTTGCCTCCACAGGGGCAGATCCCACAGTGAGGTGGTTCAGGGAAGATTTCCTGTTCTCATTTGAGCTATTGATACAGTGAAAGCAACCCCGAATGACAGCAGGGCAAAGTCTAACTTTATGACATTCAGGTGACAGGTTTTCCTGGAAGAAGACTATAGGTGGCAATCAGTTAGCGCCTCAAGTCTGTGATCTCTTGCTACATTGGCACATCCATTGCTTAAGACCAAGTGCTGGGAGGTTAAGCAACCTGAACATAGCTCTGAGAAGGACCAGCTCTCTAGAGGGACAGGAGGGTGAGTGAAGTCCCCCAGATGTGTGAGCATTGGCAGACCAAAGGCGGGCAGCAGGGCTCAGGCCTGCTCTGCCTGGGCTGTGAGAGAAGATCAGTGTACTGCTGTGCCAGCTCAGAATTTTTTTTTTTTCTTTTTTTTTTTTTTCAGTGGATATTTAGCAATTCCTGTAATGCGGAGGGGTTAATGTAGTCAGCTTGTGAGGATGGGTTGTGTGAATAAAGGCAGCGGTGTTCTTGTGCACGCAAGGAGCCCTAAGAACCCACAGGAGGATACTCCCAACTTTCCTTCTCTCTATAGTAGATATTTTTTTCATTAGGAAGAGAAGCCTGAGACAAAAATCAAAAGCTTTAGTCCATTCCAAGAAGAACTAATACATCAAGGCAGATTGAAAAGACAAGGACTGTCTGTGTCCCGGAGCAAATGAATAAGAGGGGCATGAGAAAGGGGCGCAGGACAATGGGAGGAGGGTAGGTGAGGAGCTCTGGGCACCCTTCGTTCGGTGGCTGGGAACAAGGCGACATTCAGTAGGCAGGAGGACATTTACATTTGATGGGACCCATGTTTATGCAATGCATCCAGTTAGCCCACCAGACTGCAGACTACAAAACGCTGTAGAAAGCAAAATCAAGCAGGATCTCAGGGATCAGTCAGTCAGTAAGGAAGGAAGAAGCTAAAAGAGTGAGGTTTTAGCCTTTTGGAGGGGTGGTAAATCCTCAAATTTTGAGGCGTTAACTACCATGCTGCTGCTGGAAGGTGAGAAGACACATTCCAGGTGCGTGGCTGGAACATTACTGCCTGCTGGCAGGTACACATAAATATCTTCCAAGGTAGCTGCTGTACCTCTCCTTTCCCCTCGCCAGTGGGATCCTCGTAGGCATGCCAGCGAAGGGAAGGTTAATCAGCCAGCTGAACACCTTTTGTCAAATATCCAATATCTGAAAGAAAATAACAAAAACAAGTCATTAATTTTTAAACTATGTGGAATGGAGCCATGATTAATAGCAGCCTAAGGGTTTGCATTAGTTCCATGCCATTAAGGTTTACAAGTTCGTATGCCCATTTACCCTGGTATTTCATAAAAGGATCATTTGTCATGGCAACCTCAGCCTCAGGTGGGCTCTTCTGGCAAATGCTTTACTCCCAGCCCAGCAATACCCCAAGTGTTGGCAGGTCACCCCTCTCCCCCAGCACTTGGCTTTCAGCTCCGGGGCCACGCACCCCAGGATGCCCCGCAGACAGGGCAGGGGAAGGGTGGAGTTCAGATTCCCTGAAAGCAGGGATTTGGTCCCGAGTTTCTCTCATGCTGGTGCAGCAATCACAGCCCCCAGGTCTTTCAGATGAAAGGGGCAGGGGATTTGGCACGGGGACGGGCTCCCCGTGGGGGTTTTGTAAAGACTTGACTGTGTCTCCATGCAGTGGGGAGTTCCTCACCTGCCTGTGTGAGACTAACAGGGTCACATCCCTCCCTTATTATCCTCTGCTGGCAAGGGTGAGGTGCTTATGAATCCTTGTTTTGTGTGCCTCAGTTTTGCCTGGTACTGAATAAGGAGCTTAGATGACTAATCCCAGCTCCGAGCATACTTTTGAGCTAAGCACCACTTTTGGCTGTGCCTAAATCATCCGTGTTTATCCAGACCTTAAGACTGTATTTAAAGAAAACGCTCTGCTAGGTAGCCTTTGCTAACCTGCTGCAAAGCAGAAATCAGATGCTTGTTTCATCAGATGGCTTTTTACCCCACGGAAGATTTCATCCACCCACCCTCTTACTATTTATTCACCAGCTAGTGTAGCACAGGTAAATTCAGTTTGAACGTGTGAGTTTTCTCGACAGTGATACAGTGATTTTTTTCTGAGTTTTGCATGAGAACTGATGTGGTCTTCAGCTTTTTTAGCAAAGAAAAAAATATTTCCATGATTTTTGTGGTTTGGTGATAATGTTAGAAATCCAGAACCCAAAACAATTGCACATTGTACAAGGATAAACATTTAACAAAAAAATGTCCTTCCTGTTTGTCCTCGCTCTGCATTTATTTAAACCAGTTAGCTTATTTTAGCAAGTGGAACTGATTTTTTCAGATGAGTGACTCTGTCATCCTGAAAACTGAAATATTTTCCTGCTTGAAAAACAAACTTGCTCGCTGACATTTAAAACTTAATATCTTATGAAAGGACTGGAGGGTTTTTTTTAGTTACTAGGTGTTTATCTGCAATTAAAATGTCCCAACGGTTGCATAATGCTAACTTAAAATGTAAGCATTCATTACAACTGTATAACTGATTATCATCAGACTACCAATGGGGTCCTTAGAAAACTATTTAAAACAGGCATGTTTTAATTTCTATGTGTGTTCAACTGAAAAGAGTAACGTCTTTAATATCTCTTGTGTTTCACCACTGTGACTAGAAGTATCATTTCTGAACGTAGTTTTGTAATGCATCACATGAATGACTATGTAGTTTGTTAGAAGGCAGGAAATACTAAAAAAGTAGAATGGTTAATTTTTAAATGGCAGCTATACCTGTTACAGTGAAGATCCCTTCAGTATTCAAGCAACGATAATACAGTGCTGTGTGCAGAGATTCTTTCCTTTGGCCGTTTATCTGGAGTTAGAGATGTATTATGAACACGGGGAGGTGGATTTCACCTTAACATTAACATATTCTGTGATTCTGTCCTTTTCCTTGCTAGGGCCTGGAGCCCTCTAGAGCTAAATAACATAGGTGAATAGTGTGTGTGTAAAGCATACATAAAGGAAAAATTCTCTGTAATGATTATTTTGTAGGTAGTTCACTTGTGGTGCAAAACAGTGCTGCTCCTTAGTTACATCGATTGCCCTTCTTTGAAACCAATATTAAAAGATAGTACAGGAACCAAACCCACAGAGGGGCAAAATGGCTGGTACCAGTTTGCAGAAGGGGTTGGTGAGTCCATTGGATTGAGCCAGGAACAAATCCCACATAGGTTTGCAGGAGGAAGATCTGGTCTCAGAGGTGTCCCCTGTTCCTGGAACAGGGCAGTTTCTGGCTCATGCCCCTTCAGCTTTGGCCACTCTGTTGGAGATCTCTGGGAGTCTGAGACCCAGTGATGTCAGGCTGTGGGTTTGGTCCAAAGTTCATGCAAATTAGTGACAGTAAGAGCCCCTTGACATGAGCCGAGGGCGGGTAAGGCTCTAAGTCTGCTGAGCTGGTGATTCCCATTTATGTGTTTAATGGAAGGAGCAAGTTTTGGCTGTATCTTGAAAGATTTCTGCCTGGCCGGTTGGCAGCAGGCACTGGGGGTTTAAAGCTGTTTTCTAGATAGTCACAGGAGAGTGTTGCAAGCAATAAACAAACAAAGAATGAGCAGTGCTTGCAGGCAGTGGGGTGGAAGGGTTCCTCTGTGCCCTTGAATCTTGATTGTTGCTGTGCCCTCTCATGTTTTAGCTGGCGTCCCAGCACAGCTCCCCTGCAGCCTGGGATTGAATAGGTTTCTGCTTCAATTCACCATTGAAACAAAAGAGCAACTTGTGGCTGCCCCAGCCAGATGACAGTGAGCAAATATACCAGTTTTTCAAGAGTGGGGTATTAAGAAAAACAAGGAAGAGAGCAAGAAGAATGAGGATGAGATACAAGAGCAAAGGAGCTGGCTTTGTGGTTAGTTTTCTTTCCCTAGCAAGAAAATAACCTTCACTGACAAAATCCCGTAACTCCCTGAAACTGGCAGCCTTCTTTAAGTAAATCCCAGATATTGGTTGTTAGTTTACTTTTATTGTCTTTTTGTTAATTTCTTTTATTTCAGCAGACCGTTTTGTGGAACGAAGTTCTGGCTTCTGGTCTACAGCTGGCTTTAAAGCAGATGGGAGTTTGTCACTGGTGGTATTTCAGTCCTGTTGGATTAAGCATCCTCTTGTCTAGATGGAGCAAGGGTAGCAATGGTTTGGCACGCTCAGGGTGCACATCAGCTCTTGCACCCGCTGGTCAGATGCGTGGCTGAGCGGTGCAGGCAGGGAAAGGCACGGTCAGACCCTGAAGGAAAAGAACTTGGCTGCAGCCGAGCGTCTTTGTGTCCAAATTAAACAGAAGGTTTAAGAAAGCAGGGATCTTTCTATACGTCTTGTCTCTTAAATGGTGCTTGCAGGCTCTTCTGTGATGGAGAAGGGCAGCTGATGGGCTGTAGCTGCTGTTTGCTCCCCAGAAGTAATCATCTCCTTGTTTTTTCTGTGCCTTCTCTCTCAACTGGCACTTCAGCTACAAAGTCCTCATGCTGGGGCACCACACTGCTTAGTGCAAAGTGCTTAGGTGGAGGCACAAGTCTCCATCTCTGAGCTCAGCATTGCTGCCATACCAATAAATTCCAGTGAGGAGATGGACACAAGCAGGCAGCCTTGATGGAAAAAGCCTCCTTAAAGTTAAAGGGAACTGATGTCTTGTTTGACTGCAGTGCTGAATTTTTAAGCAGCAATTTGAAAGCGGATTATAAACCTCAGTTTGCAGAATTCACATTCTAAAGTCACATGCTCCTCTATATGAAAAGTCTCATGAATTTCCACTTGCTCCCTGAGAGAGAGAAAGTTGATGCAATAATTTGAATGATTTGGATAAATCTCTCTCTGCACAAGGTGTCACTGTTATATGACACTTAATTGGGGAATGCGTATTTTTGTTTTCTGGGAAGAGATGTTGGTTCCATCCCCAAATAACAAATTAAAGTTAGTACAGTTATCTGTCATTTAGAAACCCAAGTCCTGAGCTCTGGCATCATGTGTTCTTGAGCAGGTCCCATGTATTTAGCAGGTATTTATGTATTTATAGAGAGTTGATATCAGTGACTACAGCAGGAGGCTGTCCTTGGCTACAGCTCCATTGTCCAGAATTTGGTATAATGCCATATGTTCTTTTTCAGCTGTGAATTAAATATTGAGGAAATGGCCTTCTCTGGAGGAGGCATGTGTTCTATTATTTTTCTCTTTCCCTTCCTGTTTCTTTGAACCACTAAGGTCCAATTCAGTTAGGGAAGCAGTCTGATTCACCGAACGAACAGGCTGTATTTTAAGTATTAATTAGGCAATTAACTGTTTTACAGCTTTATCCTCCTTTCCAGTTGCTGGGCTAGTTTCACAGTGATGTGATCTCTGTGGAAAAAGGTTGGGTCAGGCAGTTTTTTCATCAGTCCTCCCAGTCAAAGGGAAGGGATTTGAAAGGGCCAGTTGAATCTGGCAAATCAACAAAAGGCTACAGGACTGGTTCCACAGACAGGGGTTTGGTTACTTAGGCCTTGGAACTTGCTTTGAGAAGCCTGGTCCACTGAGGGCTGATGGGGTCCATCTGTCAGAGAAGGGGACCATCTTCAGTCAGAGGGTAAGCAAGCCATGCTTCAAAAGGGAAAAATTGGAAGACCGGGTAACTAGAGGCTGTTCAGTCTCACCCGTGTGCCAGACAAGGTCATGGAGCAAATTGTCTTGGAAACTATGCTAAGGCACATGGAAAATAAGGAGGTGATTTGTGACAGGCAGCATGGCTTCCTTAAAGGCAAATTATCTCTGACAAATTTGATGGCTTTCTGGAGTTATAGCATTGGTGGATAAAGGAAGAGCAGCCGACATCATCTACCTGGATTTGTGCAAATCATGTGACTCTGTCCTGCACAACATCCTTGTCTCTAAATTGGAGAGATGCAGATTTGAAGGATGGATCACTTGGTGGACAAGGAATTGGCTAGATGGTCACACTCAAAGAGTTGCAGTCAGTGGCTTGATGTACAAGTAGCAGCTAGTGACACGTGGTGTTCCTCAGGGGTTGGTGCTGGGACTGGTGCAGTTCACCCTCTTAGTCAGAGACATGGACAGTGGAATCGAGTGCACCCTCAGCAACTTTGCCAATGACACCAAGCTGTGTGGTGCAGTCGACACACTGGAGGGAAGGGTTGCCATCCAGAAGGACCTGGACAGGCTTGAGAGGTGAGACCATGCAAACCTTAGGAAGTTCAGCAAGGCCAAGTGCAGGGTCCTGCATGTGGGTTGAGTCAGTCCCAAGCACAAATACAGGCTGGACAGAGAATGGAGCAGCTCTGAGGAGAAGTACTTGGGGGTGTTGATGAGAAGCTCAACATGAGCTGTCAATGTGTGCTCACAGCCCAGAAAGCCAACCACATCCTGGGCTGCATCAAAACAATGGTGGCCAGCCAAGTCAAGGGAGATGATTCTGCCCCCCTACTCTGCTGTGGTGAGACCCCAGCTGGAGTACTGCATCCAGCTTTGAAGTCCTCAGCACAGGAAGGACAAGGGACTCATGAAGCAAGTCCAGAGGATGGCCATGAAGATGACCAGAGGGCTGGAGCATCTCTGCTATGAGGATAGCCTGAGAGAACTGGGGTTGTTCAGCCTGGGGAAAAGAAGGCACTGGGGAGACCTTATAGCAGCTTTCCAGTACCAAAAGGGGGCCTACAGGAAAGCTGGAGAGGGACCTTTTTTTAGGGCTTGTAGTGATAGGACGAGGGATAACAGTTCTAAACTAAAAGATGGTAGATTTAGATTAGATATTAGGAATGCATGGGAGTAGCTGTTATCCACACGTGAGATTTAGGAACTCTCTGAGTTTCTGAAGAAAGAAACTATGTAAGGATCTGAGGAGCTGGACGATGAGATAGTAAGAGCTGTGCTAATCCCGTTATGATGGTGACATGCAGGATGATATGCAATAGTGTTATGGCTGTAAGACTAGTAAATTGCTGCAAAGCTGAAACTGGCCATGGCATTACTGGTTTGAAATGCACTAATTGCCATTTGTGCTATTTGCCAGGTAGTGCTTAGATGTACGGATATTCTTCCCTCAGCTTCACATTCTCAGTCTACATCTCACTTCCACGCAGAGTTTCTCATTGAGTTTATGCAAACTAAAAATTTAACAGAAAATCAGTTTGTAACAATCATATTTTATCTTAAAAAAAAAAAAAAAAGCAGCATGTTATCTACTGCATAGAGATTATGAGCACCTTGTTCTGGATTTGTGTAGCTCAGATCAAGGGCATAGCAACTCATGGAGGAACTGCTGAGGGCCCCTGGGCATCCCAGGAACATAAAGGAGTACTTGTAACAATCACATCAGCAGTGGTGATGTCCTCAATGGGAGTGTGTAACATCAGCAAATGTTATAAAAGAGAAAAGTCCCCTGCTCCAAAACTAAGAATATATTGCTAGATAGTGAGTCAGTTGGCAGAAGACAGCCAAAGATAAGTGTCATGAAATGCATGTAAAAAAGTTGCTACGTCAGGTTTTTCTTGGAAAAGCTCATAAAGGAATGACCATAATTATGGCCAGCTTGGTGGAGGATTGAAAAAAGAGAACTGACAGTGAAATTAGAACTGCTTAGAAAAAGACTGTTGTACTGAGATATATTGAAAGTGCATGAGATAGTAGAAAACCATCTATCTAAACTGTAAAGATGTTTTGCTGCCTTTGCACTTCATTTCCATAATTTTACTGTGTCAAGCTATAGTCATATGGTGTAACACTATTGCTAAAATTCATGGTGGTTTGTTTACAGTATTCATAGTCCTGAGGTTAGGTGAGCTTCATGTGTCTGTATGATCAAGCTTCCCTACTTGATTGCTTAAAGTTTCGTGCCTGTGGACTGGTTGGAAGGAGGGTGAAATATCAGTGGACTTTCAGTGAGCATTAGGTCACCTGAGCATCATGTCAAGTATTTTGCAAAAACTGTGGGTACACCCTATGCAGTCCCCCAGGGTCCTGACTGATTTTGGCTGGGACTGTAGTTTGACAACTTGAAAATCACTGCAGATGGACTGGGAAGTAGGTGGGAGAGACTGAGTTTGGGGAACGTTAGCTGTTTGCTTTAGCAGTAGAGAAAAAGTGATTGTGATTGTTCCCACCTAGCACTGAAGTGGTATGAATTGCTGTAATTGCTGTGATTCAGAGCTGGGCAGTTCCAGGTGGAAGAGAATAAGCTTACTTAACAGTCAGTGGGCAGGATATGGAAGATTATGGGTCCTGCATAGCTGTAGGTTGGCCGTCTTCCATGTCGGTAGCGTTATGCGTTGCTGTGTATGCTGTTAACACCTCGGTATATATGAATAGTGTGGTCACACTATAGCTGCTTGGGGAACTATAACTTTGAACTGTGTAAAATTTATTTATGTGATTTCCGTGGAAAGGTTGTTTTTTTTGTTTTTGTTGTTTTTTTTTTTTTCCTGATGGAAGATGGTTAATTAGAGTAGAAAGGTAGGAAAATAAAAGGCATAAATGTATGCTTATCTCCTCCAGCTACACAGTTAGCTTACCTGCTCTTTAATTATGTGGTGCCTTGAGTCGGATGTGGAAGTAGTACCGAAGGTATCCCAGCACGGCTGTTTGCACATATTTGTATTGCAGCCTCCAAAGATGTTTAGCAAACCCAGCAGTTTCTCTGCTGCAACTGGCACTGCTGATGGCACACACCGAGGGACGGCTCTGCTGTGCAGTACAGGTCAGGGGCAGCAACGTTTTTGTAGACCCGATGTGCAAATTATGATCATAGCATTCGGAGCTCAGCTCGCACCTGTAATTAAAAGAACCAGCATAAATCAAATGGAAAATACTATAATCAAAAAGTTCTGCTTTTTATTAGAGCTCAACTAAAAGAACTGTTAATTACCTACAAGATTAGTGGATCTCTAGTAGCTTTTATGATCTATTTGGTTTTGTCCTGAGGGCTCTCTAATGTTGAACCACACATTATTAATTACCATGGAGACCTTCGAGCAACCTGTGAAGACATCTTCACATTTACTGTCATCCCTCTTTGAAACATTCATGGAACATATACTTCTTCTAGCCACTTTTAACTCTTTTCCTGCAGCAAAGAAAGGATGGGGATTTTTGTAACTATGATTTATCCTGACTGTCAGCCATTCTAGAATTCAAATAAACACTGTCCAGAAAGAGTTTCACCGTCCCTGGTGAAAGGTTTTGTGCATGAGAAACTGAGAGGTGGCACAGGTGATCTTCTGATTATTTTCTAATGTGATTTTTTGCATGTAATGTCAGGGCTTTTGGGCAAGAGTCAAGCTGAGTGGCTGTGGCAGTAGCCTCCCAAACTGCCAAGTGAGTTTTGATAGGGCTTACGTGGTAAATCTGCAGTGTCTACAGGAGGTTTTTCAGGCTGGTGGCATGGGTAGATTTCAGATTAAGCAAATTAACTGACAAAATGGATTTTGAGGGTTGCTGTGTTACACTGAGAAGTCTTTGCCATGGACAAAGGAAGTGACAAATAGCTTTCCTTGAAACGGACGTCAGCCCCAAGCTGTAAATCAGCCAGCAGGGAGGTAAAGCAACTAGAAAGCCCCATTTCTCTCCAAAGAGAATGAGTGTCATGTCAAGAAAGCCCATGTTTGATCATCCACGGCAACTTGGACTCTAACGCTGGCACATAAAGCACTTGTCAAGCTTTGTGGTTTCTTGGTTTGTTTTTTCTTTTCTTTTCAATTCTAAAAAATTAAGCCCCCACACTGGCAGAGCCTGTCCTAGTGTGCACTCTGACCATCAGCTCTTGTTATTCCACCAAAAGCCTGAGTTTTGCCTTTTCTTTCATGCTTTCTCCTTAGGTAAAAATAACTGCAGCTGCCTGCTAGTCTTTGGCTGTCAGACTGAGCTGAGCTGTTCTGCACCTTCTGTAGCTCTTCCCCTAAACTGTTGGTGCGTTTTCTTAATGAAACATAGGTTGGAGTTATCTAAAAACTCCAATTTGAAATGTCAGAGCAATGTAAACTTTTGTATTATCAGTAAATAATTCCAGAATTCCCCTTACTGCTGGCAACCAGTTTAAGAGGGAAGGAATGTCTTGCATGTAATTACATTACCAGAGGCTTGGATAGTTAGGCTTAGCCAATCAACTATGTAATACTTCTTATCTATGGAGCAGTTATTTACTTAACTGGCTATATGTTTTTATCTTTTAACATGTTTAACATCCAGCTAAAGCTGTGAGAGTTAGAGTAGCACTTTATTTACCAACAGTTTAAATAATTTAGATACGCTGAAGTGGGCAATAAGCTAAACATTGTTTTTGTCCAGGAGAATATTTGCAGAGGTGGGTTGTTGACTGGAAATGGGAATAAGAGAAACCCATAATGTAGTATAATTGTTGATTACACTGTTGCTAGGATGTCAGGAGCTTTTCTGTTGCAATGAAGCTGTGAGTGAATGAGAACATCTTTCTTGCAGCTGAAAGATAACTAATTCTGAATTATTGTGCATCAAGCCAGGGTGCATTGCACTGCTGAGATGGGAGTTGCTACTTACAGAAGAGGAATACCTGTGCTACTCAAGCCATGTGTGTCTGCTTCTGCAGATGGGTCTCCATCTGAACTCAGCTCCTAAAATCATTATTGGTTCATCACTGAAGCACACCAGGCTCCTGTGAACAAGCCTGTCATGTTGCTGCAGCACTTTGGTTTTAACTATTGTTGTTGCTCACAGTGATGTAGACCAAAGACTTGCCCATGTAGGTTGTCTATGTAGACTGGTGGGAGGCAGAGCTGGTTGGCAGCAGTCGTCTTTTATATTGGGGTTAGAAGGTAACATTTCATTCATTTCATGTCACTTATGAAAAAACTGTAAAGGACAGGAAAGTGTTCTCATGGCAGTTCCAGAGAATGCATTACTGTAGAGGGTAAGTAGTTTCCTCCATTGCTCATTTGCTAGTGGAGAGATGTTCATCTGAACAAGGGCCAGAAATGGAAGTGGTAATCATTAAACAAGCAAATCCACCAGTTGTGCTCTCCAAAAAAAATCGTGGCAGAACATACTTCCCAATCTGAGAGGTGCTAAGTCCTCGGTGCAGAGGAAGGAGGACGTTCTCAGTGCTGTGGGATAAAGGTGCTCAGCACCTTACAGAATCTCACATGGTCAGCTGCAGAATTTGTGCATCTGGGCATGGGAACTGTGATCTGCAAATTTCTCCCCTATCTGCAGAGCTATTCAGACACAACATTAAAGTGTTATTTGAATGTTCAGAATAGCAGATAGTGGTTAACTGTTCTTAAAAATGGGTCAAAAGTTCCCATTTCCCCCCACCCCCGGGTTTTTTTGAGACATTCCTTTGTGTTTCAGCAGTTGAGAAAATAACCCTCCAAATTAGTCATTGTGTTTAATTTGGAGATTCCCTCTAGTAAATCAATTCCATAGGGAAGAAAAGCTTTTCATGTGTCACTTACCATTGCTTTTATTTTCTTCTTTTTATTTTTTTCAGGTGAACATGTTTGTGGAAGGATTCCATGATGCTATTCTTCTTTATGCTCTAGCTTTACAGGAAGTCCTGAAGTTTGGTTTCAGTAAGAAAGATGGGGAAAAAATTGTTCAGCAAACACGGAACAGAACCTATGAAGGTAAGAGTTAATATGGAATTCCAGTTTTCAGAGTCAAAAAAATACAGGTCTTTGTTGTATGCAGAGCAAGGACCTGTGCCTATTCCACCCTTAAATGAGAGGAAAGTAGCCATATGAAACCATGTACGTCTTTAAGGCTGGTTCATATACCTCACCAGTCTGCCTTTTTTCTGCACCAGCCCTTAAGGTCATATTCAGCTCAAAAAACTCTGAACAATTTAATGACCGTCACTGATGTTCTAAAGAAATACCAATAATTTTCTCAGGCTCCTGTGTTTTTTTTGAAAAGATTACAGCTGGTTGGTTTACTCATGTGCATCTACTAGCTCTGAAATTGCCTCATTCTTTCCATTTGACTTTTTTAATCTTAAAAGCCTGGGAATGGATAGAAGCAAGCAGGTGCCAGGTTAGGTTTTTTTTTGTTTCTTGATGGGACTACTTTAGGCCCTGGAAAGATTTCCCTCCAGCCTCCCCTCAGGAGCTGTGTATGTTGTCTCAGAGGCAGCAGCTGAACAGCACTGAGCCTTTCTGTGTCTAATCCAGAGGGTTGCAGTTCCTCAGTGCAACTGGCACTTGCACATCACCTTGCTGATGCAGAGCAACACAAGTGCTTTTGCCAGGTAGGGATCATAATAAAGAAATGGAGGATTATTGGATTCATCTGTCGCCTCTTAGAATATTCTTATCCATCTCTTGTAATACTCCAGTCTTTTGGTGTAGGATTGGCAAGATTTCCTATGGAAATGCCTAAGAGAAGGAAACATTTCCCCTAGATAAGAAGCAAATGATTAATTTGAATGTGTAGGAAAAACCTCAGTGGCCAGGTTCTCTGCTCCAAGAACAGACTGGACATAGCAGAGGAAGGCAAGAGGTCAGCAGCTCCAGACCTCTTTTTTTTTCTCAGATTGTGGCCTGAACACAAGACAAAAGGGTCCCCAGGGCAGCTTAAGATGACACGGGGATTGCTTTAAATTGTGCTGGTTGCATAAGGAACCCTGCACCAGCTGGAGATTGTGCTTGGGGTCCCATTACCTACATGGCTTCCCAAAACACACTGTTTTAACAGAGGGATTCTGGATTTACCTCACTGTTTGACTGTCCTGTGTATGAACAAACGCTCCGGCACAGTCTGGCTGTACTTTATCTACCCCAGCTTCTCTGCTTCAAGAAGCCACCAGCTGGTGTGCCCATGCAAGCCTCAAAGTACCATGTGTTCCATGCAGGTTACATGATTGATTCTCACACCTTTCTTGTAAACCCAGCTGGGGAGGGGGAAATTCTTTTTCCCCACTTGTGAAAACCAGTTTGTTGTTGCTGGTTGCCCAGTTACAGCTATTCTGAGAATGTAGCTGTCAGGTTGAGCTGTGAGGGTGTAGTTGGAAAGGTCAAAATGCCATGTAAGTCGTATACCGTCTCCTCCCTGTGGCAGTACTTGCACGTTATTTGCAAGGACAAAACTGATTTTGAAAGAATCCTGTAACTTGATGTCTTTCAAGCCAGTCTTTCTAGGAAAATCATGTCCCTTGATTAAGGGGGCCCCTCTCTGAAGCAGATGCAGCATTGCAGAGTACGGTCCATGCGTGCACCCACCAGGCTGTATTGGAGGGCTGAAGCTTTATAATTCACTTACACTTTTGCAGCCTTGATGATGAGAACTCCAGTTTCATTAATGACATCAATCTAACTGCTAACATCTAGATATCTAATTGCCTGGGCACCTCATTTTACAGCCTGCTCTGAACAGGTGACCCATCAGAATTCCAACGGGATGTGGATGCTGTTTCCTGCAGGGTTGTCCTGCGGCTGTCAGCCGCAACGGTGGAGGCAACATCATGGGCTTAGGAAAGGATAAGGCTGAGGTGATCAAAGGTTTCCTTATTGCGTGGGTTGTTAGAGACACCCTGGTATGACTGCAGGGCACATTTTGTGGAGAGTATTTTCTATTCATTGGTGTTTCCTCCGAAAAAGGCGGAAAATTTTCTGTATGTAGGTATCTAACGTAACAGAACAAAATGAGAGTACGGATAAAATCCTCCAGCTTCATCCAAATGCAGTTCTTCATTAAGGTTGCTTCAGAATTTCCTAAATGCATTTCTTAAGGAAGAATATTAAAGGAAATGTCAACATTTCAAACTCTTTGTTTTGATTCAGATGGAAAACTTAAAAATTAGTCTTTCCCAATAAAAAAGCCAAGCAAACATAGGAATTCTGAGTTTCAGCAAGTTTTAGTGCCAACTGCCAAAATATTGAATTTTGGCTTTATTAGGCTGGGAAGGTGTCCGTTCCAATTAATACCTCTTATCAGATCAAGAATCCATATTGCCATGTAGGGTAAGGTTGTTGCAGCTCTTCATAGTGGCCTTTTCTAATGCTTTTACAGCCAAATGGTTTTTATATCCATTCTGTTTTCCTGCAAAAATCAAATTGGCCATTGTTTGATTACTGTATTATTATAGTGAAACAGATGCTTGACAGTAATTTTTTGATGACCACTACATGTTTTGAAAATCACAGTAAGTTTAAACATTCCTGGCATCACTAAATGGAGGTGTGTTACTCCGTTGCATGTTTTCTATCATGAGGTATGTTGAGGGGAATTTATACTCTGGCTGAATATCTGACCTTGGTCTTCTGATTTACAGTCAGTGAGAACCTGATTCTCTACTGCTTTGTGCCTGTTCTAGTCATGTAGTTGGTGCAACATGGATGTATAATGATGCCAGTTTGACTTGCGCTAATATAAATGGCTGTGTTTGGTGTCAGGCAGTGGAGGATCTCATTTGAGAACATCTGAGGTGATAAAGCATATCAGCAAAATCTTACAGTGTCTTCATCATAGTTAATTGGTTTTGCTCAATGGATTTTAAGAACCCTTTTGACTTACACTGCAAGAAGTTGGAGCCATGTTCTTTGTACACAAGGGCATACATTGAAAAGAGAAGTTCAGACTGAATACAAGGAAGTGTTTGTTCTCCACGATGGTTGGAACATGTTACCCCAGAGAGATTGTGCATTCTCCACCCTTGAAGGCTTTGAAGAGCAGATAAAACCCTGAGCATCCTCTGGTTCTGACTTCTGGCTGATCCTGCTTAGTGGGAAGTTGGACTCGAGGCCTCCTGAAGCCCCTTCAAACTTGAGTTATTCTATGATTCTATGATTCCCAATTTCCATAAACTTGTAATGGAAGAATTGAACTGGGGGTCTAAAACTATAAAACAAATAGCACCATATTATGCAGTTAATCCTATGTAAATACATACCTAGTGCACTTGGTGTCCCTTGTCTATGCCCCCTCCAGTTTCCCCATCAGATGGAAACAAGACTGTATGAGTGCACCAGCCCCATCGGTATGTGGGGTGTAGGGCTGTGCATCCTCTACAGCACATGAGCTGGACTCTCCTTATTGAGTTATTGTTAGATATTTCAGGGTTAGGCTCTTTGTAAATAGTTCACATTATATATATTTGTCTTTTGTTCTTGCATGCTGGCTTTTGGATTAGATTTTTCTCACGTATTCCCCAAACAGTCTCACACATTTGATATTTAAAAAGGAGAAATGTTAAGAATTCAGGAATGCAGACACCGAGATGAAATTACAATTTCTTTTGGAATGCCAACAAAAATGCTGAAAGACTGATGAGATTTCCTGTCATATCGGTCTGTAAAAACCTGTGCACTGTTTTCTTGTTTTTCTTGGAAGGCCTTGGTATTTTAACTAATTAATTTTCTAATTCCTCACATGCCATTCTTTAGGCATTGCAGGGCAGGTGTCCATTGATGCCAATGGAGACAGATACGGGGATTTCTCTGTGATCGGGATGACGGACCCAGAGGCAGGCACACAGGAGGTGAGGAGGCAAACACCACTGCAGTTGTCCACTCATGAGTTGGCCAATGTAATGTAACATGGTATCATCTCTTTACGTGGTGGGCACCTGTTTATTTGATATACCTATTAAAATGGTCTTGCTTAATCTTAATATATAGTAGGACAAATATGTCTTTTGATATGCTTCTGCCATCGCTTCTGACTACTCCAGTGTCATGATATTGGGCCTTTATTACTGTACATAGATTTTTCTGGAACTATTTTCAGATGAGTGACCTACTACTGTTAGCACAATTTAGTCTAGCAACTTTGCAGTAGATCCAATGTTGTGTTGAGTAAAGTCTGGGTTTGCTGTTGAGGACAGGACTGAAATTCTAAAGTACCTTGATGAATTGATCTGAAATAATAGTCCATGTTACCAGAATAATAAGCATGAAAACCCCTTCGTGTAAATATCAACAACTGCAGAAATACAAGGTGGAGAAGGACAAGTTCTGTTGTAGTTCCTCAGAAGATTTGAAGATTTTAGCTAAAGATGATCAAGTACCTCCAGATCCTTGCGAAATAGAGAAGTCCAGCCTGGAGTGTATAGTTGGGAGCTTCAGCCCACAATGTGCTTGAAATGATGCTCTCACTTGGCTGGGTGACAGTTGTGAGCACTCAACCAACTATGGAGCAATTGAGGAAAGCCCAGGAAGAGCAGGAGGAGTATTCAGAAGATTAGAAGAACTTGTGTTTTTGTTAAACTTGTGGGTTTACATAAGAGAAGCCTGGGGGCAGACCAGATAAGAGCCTGTGAATATATAACATGATGTTTCAGAAATTAAGAGTCTCTATGTCCACTGGCAATCTGGTAAGTAGTGATGGATAATTGCAACAAGGGAGATCTAGGGAAAACCACTGACAGTTAAGGACAGCTGTGTTCCAGAATAATTGCCTACAGAAATTGTCAAGTCTCCTTCTTTGGAGGCTTTTAGGAACAGGTTAGATAAACATCTGTCAGGAATGCTTTTGTTCAGTTGATCCTGCCCAAGGCCAGGGCATGCAGTGCTCACACTCCCACAGACCCCTTCAGCCCTGCTATCTGTGACTCAACATCCTGCCACAGAGTCCAAGTGAGTGATGCCACTCTCCTGCTTATTTTACTTTCCCAAAAGTTGATAGGAAGATCTTTTCATTCCTTTCTCTTTTTGCATAGGTGATCGGGGACTACTACGGAAAGCAGGGGCGTTTTGAGATTCGGTCAAATGTGAAATATCCTTGGAATCACGGCAGGCTGCGACTGGATGAAAGCCGAGTTTCCGAGCACACAAACAACACACCGTGTAAATCATGTAAGTTTAGTGACTTAATGCTTCCGTCCGGGCACACAGAGAGAGGAATCCATGTGGTGATGCAACATAACAGGCCCTGTCAGATTTCTTAGCACAGTTGTCCAGCTGAGACATCGTGACTGTTGTGTCTCTCTGCTGACCCTTTGGGGTGTTACGGTCTGGCAGACGTGGGTAGTATGTGGTCTGAATCACTTCCCTGAACTGAAACATGACAGTAATCATGATGCACAGCCCAGGGCCCCAGAGGCCTTAGGACTTTCCAGGGGCTAAAAGGTAACATCTCTTTGAGCCAGAAAGACAAATATAATTGAAACCTCAAACACAGAATAATGATATTGATAATTAGCAGCTAGGGAGGCCAGTGCTGATGGGAGCAGTGTTCTGCCAGTGCAGAATGATTTTCAGTGCTATGGGAAGACTCTGCAAGGGCGCCAGTAGGCTGAGAAGAAGATAAGTCAGTTGAATGGGGAAACACCTGTGAATCCAGAAGGCTGGGCCTACCCCCCCCCGAGAGAAAGTGTTCTTGTTTTCCACTGTACTGACTTTGCAGACCATGTTATACTGAGCAGGACATTGCAAGGAGATAAGTGTAGGAAGATGGTGGTGCCTCAGTGGCAATGGGTGGTCTTAGCTTTTCACAGGAAACAAATTGCTGTTCCTTCTGTGAAATGACGAGGGGAAATGGCTTCAAGCTGGAGGGGAACAGATTTAGATTGGAGATTAGAAGGGAGTTCTTTACTGTGAGGGTAGTGGAGCACTGGAACAGGTTGCCCAGGGAGGTGGTTGAGGCCCCATCCCTGGAGATATTCAAGGAGAGGCTCGACGAGGCCCTGGGCAACCTGGTCTAGTTGGGGGTGTCCCTGCTGACTGTGGGGAGGTCGGACTAGATGACCCTTGGAGGTCCCTTCTGGCCTGGGCAATTCTATGATTCTATGATTCTATGAAATGGTATCTGCAGCCTTATAATTCTTTGATCCCTGACAAACCTGTGTGTACGCACATGTTGTAGAGACTGTTTCCAGGCCATACCCTCTGTGCTCTGCATGGTGTAGCTATGCACCCCTTTCTTCTGCACATCCTGATACACAGGCAGAATTCCCCTCAAGGGATCAAGGATAAATGAAGAAGAGGGAGCAGTTTAATTTCCTTAATATTTCTCTGTTCCTTTCCACGAACTGAGGTAGTCATGGGAAAGGGAGAGGGCTGCACCTATGTTAAAATGCCATTGTTCTTCAGCTGCCCTGCACTTTGTAGTGACAGTCCCTAATTGGATTCGCTGCTCTGCCTCTGCTGAAATTTGGAACAAGGCACAGCTCACGTGGCTTTAACTTGAAAGAGCCATGGGTTCAGAAAAAAAATAAAATTGAGGAGCTGTTGGATAATCATACTGTCATTTTAATAAGCCTGGGTGATAGAGGGTTTTGATGCTAAACCAGGGGAAATTAGTTTGTTTCTGTTATAATTACTCAGGGCATATTCAGTCCTGAATCCTATTATGCACGTCATTGTAATCCCAGTCTGTGTTATGATTCAGACCAAGCTGTCCAGACCAGTTTCTGAACAACATTCCTGTGTATCAAATCTCTAGAATTGTGTCTTCATCTGACACTGATCTTGGGGACTTCTTTAACCCCAAGGAAAGCAAGGATAAAAAATAAACATGCCGAAAGTAGAACTAAGGAAGAGATTTCCATGGAGTCCTGAGCTCTGAAAGGCTTTAGTTATTATCTGATGTTGGTCAGTCATTTCCTAGTTGTGTGTATTTTCCAATATGTGAATGCAAATAGTTCTCAATATGAACCCTGATTGTTTATTTTTCCCGTCTTCAAGCAGGTGGTCTAGGAGAATCAGCAGTTACAGGAATAGTTGTGGGCGCCTTGCTTGGAGCAGGACTGCTTATGGCTTTTTACTTTTTCAGGTTAGTCCAATTCATTAAAAGTTCTGTAAACTCTTCACACAAACCTCTTGGCTCCTGGCAGCACATCCTTGATGGGAGACCAAGAGGTGCCACAATAATCTGTGGTAACATTCCTGCCAAAGACAGTGACCACACTTTGATTGTCCTTTTGTGATATCAGAATCATTTTACTGACTCATCCTGTAACCACCGTACACCTCTGAGTAACTTTACTCATGGAAGTAATTCCAGTGAGTTCCAGTCGTTCATGGTTCTTTAAGAAAGTGCCCTGGCCTTGAAAGCCTTCTTTGTCTGGTACTCTTTGCCAGCACAATTGTGCAGGCTGTGATCGTGCAAGAGATTTATATGATTTGCCTGGTACCATGCTTAGTTCTTGAGTATTGAGTGGAAATGTACTGGAACCTAGGAAGAGATTGCTGTTTTGGTATAAGAGAGCATTTGGATTTCAAAGCTGTGCATTTAACTTAATAAGCTGAGGTCAGTGCAGGGTGATCAGTGTTTTATGCCTGCTAAAGTGAAATAATTATTCCTGCTTAGGTAAAATGATTCCTACACTGCTAGTCAGCAAATCTAAAGTCCTGAGGGTTGATTTGACACTGACAGAATAAATTAGTTATACATGTTCAGCTTCTTATATATACTATAATTTATCCACTTACGGTAAGAGAAAAGGCAGATAGGAGAATAGAATTAACCTCTGCGTATAAGAATCAAATAATTTTATCCATATAAAAACCTATTTATAATAAAATGTTGACAAAATGAAACAAGCAAAAACTTCTTCAGTTCACTAGCATGCTTCTGGGGTTTCAAAAGATATTCAGAATTATTCATTCAAGTAATTACAACTGAAATTCTGTAGGTTGATGGTAGTCTTGCACATGTGTGGTGCTTATATGTTATGTTATTTGGGTTTGAAACAAGATAAGTTAGCTGGGACTGATTAAAGGCTGTCTTTAAAAGACAAAAGAAAAAATAACACAAGTCTGTCTTTTTAGTGTATGTCATCAGAGGTTCTTGCATCTTTTATACATTCCCAATCTTTTATGATAATTTTTACTTGTTTTTTTAGCATGGAGGGAGGGAATTGGTATGTTAAGACAAGAAATGAGACAAAAGACATCCTGAGTTGGTGTAAAACGGTACAAAGCATCATTGTAGGAACAGAACTTAAACTCTTAGTCATCTGACACAAAGATTTGAATTGGAAATCCATATGAGCAAAGGTGTCTGTAAAAGTAGATGTACATACATGAGCTCAACACCCAGTCTTTTTATTTATAGTCAGAGGGAGAAATTGCCACTTTTTTTGGTGCAGTTCATGTCACGCTTATGTAAAAGCTAAACCAGCTCAGAAGAATGCCTCATAGAAACGCCTGTTTCTCTCACTTGACTTAAAGAATTTGCAGGTAGTTTGTCAGAAAAAATCTGCACATTGAAGACATCTAAAGACACGTGTGAATTTTATCCTGGAGATCTGATTGCACCCACTCAAAGCAGGAGTAGGGACAACTCTCTAGTCAATCCACCATTAGAATAAACAAATGAAACAAAACATATCAGTATGTACAGGTCAGATTTTCAGAAAATGCAGGTCTAGAAATAGTGTGTCTACAAGTAACATGTACCTGCAGCTTCTGTAGCTTTCAAACTGTATGTGTACCTTCTGATTACATCTCATTTGGATGTGTAATTACCACTGATGAGCATGCAAACACAGCTTTGAGTGCGTATGCAAACTGTTAAAAGATCTGGGTAGTAATTCTAATACATAGCTTTAAAAGGATTTGCTACATTTCTAAAATGTGGACCTGCTGTGAGCTGCTACTGCGCATGCTGTGACCTGTGGAAGGGTCTGACTAGAAAATACATAAATGAAGTGGAGAACATAGGTTTTTCAAGTTGCTTTGTAGCCTAATGATACAGACACAAATGTCTAGGGAATCTTTTCAGGATTTGCAGGTTCCCACTTTCTATTGAGCCGTGTTACCCAAACTGAAACCTTGGTGTTCTGAAAATCATTCTCCCACTGCTACACGCCTAGTGCTTGCTCCTGCTACACATGGAAGTGGAGCAGGGCTTCCCTTGGCCTACAAGCTTTTTGTCATGCATCCCCACAAGCAGTGCTGCGTGCACATGGGGCTGGACTAATGCCTTCCTGAAGAATTGGTCCCGAAACTCAGTAGAAGTGTAAAGGCGTAAAATATAAATGTAAATCTTCTTGTGATTTTTGCAGGAGAGATTTGGATACTAAAGGGCAAATGAGATACCCCCAGAGGGCTTGTTTGACGTATGAAGTAACATAACAGAATTCTTTAAAAGGCTCAAAAGGAAGACACACAGGAAAAACTGTGTCTGATGCATGAGCAATTGTATTTACTTCTTATCTATCCTCTACATCCCTCTTAATTCATCATGCTACCTCCTCTGACATTACAAACACAGAAGCTTTCTCAGAGGGAGATGGGAGGATTAGTTAATAGATAGCTTCAGTGAGAAACGCAACTGAATAACAAGTCAGATCTGTTTTTTGAACTCTGCAGAAAGTGCCCCCTCACATACTGGAAAGAAATTTGGCTTTGATCAATATAAAACAGCGATGTGACACAGTTCACATGACACTTCACAAAAACTTCCTAATCACTTAGATCAGAAATTTTCAAAGAAGCAAATGTCTGTGTCTTGGTGCTTTGAGACTGCCGTGTAGAAATTGACAGACATTCTTGAGCCTGGGTAGAATGTTTCAAGGCAAACTACTTTAATCTTTGACCAGGGTTTCACATTCTGCCACATTTCATTTTTCAACTGGCACCCAGCTGTCCCCTACAGGCATTCTTTATAAGGGAAGTCCTGTTACTCTATAGCTGGGGAAGGATTTCTCACTCTGTTCCTCTCCTTTCATGCAGAAAGAAATACAGAATAACTATTGAGAGACGAACTCGACAGGAGGACTGTAACATGGGGAAACATCGGCAGTTACGTGAAGACTCCATTAGATCTCATTTTTCAGCTGCATAAAGAAGAAGAAGAAAAAGAATCCCATTCTTCCTGGGGAAAAAAGAATTAGGGAAAAGGACACAACCAAAGACATCAGTGTAAAAAGAGGAGGCTCTTGAAGAACTCACTCTTTTAAGCAGTAATCTTGTCTTAATTTCTTTCAGAAGCTCAGGAATGATTTATTAATCATGTTATGCCGCATGGCCTTTCATCTCATGAAAACAGAAAATGATGCAATTTGATGTTATTGGATGTACTTAATATGTAAAGACAGTGTCTCTTAAGGCATATATCAAGGGCAGCAGATCTGGGTTTAGTTGATGGGGAGTGCCTCATTCTGTTCCCTTTTTGAATTTTTTTAGGTTCTACCACCTTCTTCCTTAATTGCATCTCACCCATGGCTATCAAATATGGTTTCACAGGCACAGGTCCTGGTTGCTGTCAAAAGGAAAAAAGGGATTCATTTGGGGTATGATCCTGCATCACTGAATCATTGCCATTGATTATAGGGGATACAAGATTGGGAATAGGGAGTTTAGTTCTTGGAGGGAACTGGCACTTGGGTGCAGTTAACTACACTGGGGTGTAATTAACTCAACTGAGAAAGTCAGGCAGGTGGAAACACACACAAACCATTCTGTCCTTGTTTGTGTAGTATCACAATCAAAAGCACTGATTCTCCCTCTTAGGCACTGTGAGTTAGGTAAAACTCCAGTGAAGGAGGAGGAGTTTCATTGATGGGGAATAGTGAGAGAGAAGACAATCAGGCCGCCAGAGATGACTGTCTGATTCCTCAGTCTTATATGTGTTTTGTCATGCTCTTTTCTCTCCACTGCCAGGACTTCTCAGAGAGGTAGATATAGTCCATGCAGAGCCCGTTCCTGTTCCCAGTGAAGTTGATGGCAAAATCCCATTAACTTCAGTGAGCACGGGACTGCATCCAAAATTGTAAATATGAAAGTGTTTGTATAGCTGAAGCAACTCAAAAGGGGATCTTTTTTGTGTAAAAATGACATTCCATGCTACCATTTTATTTTTAGGATATTTTTTATCTTGTATTTTTCTATTAAAGTATCTATTTTTGCTTTGGTAGGATTAAAAATTAAGGGAGAGGATGTTTTGGAGACATTTTTTATGATAGGTGTAACATGCAGGGAAAGTCAACAGCTGTAAATACATTTTAGAACTGGTATTTAGGGGAGGAGAAGTGACTTTATGGATAGTAATGGACTTTTTGCCCCACTTTCTTCTCCAGGCATTTGCAAGATTCAAATAGCTATTTAAGCAATATAAATGCAGTTACTGAATTGTCTATGTGATGGTGGCCCCAGTCCTGAAAATAATGAACTTTTCCCATGTTAAATAGTCCTGCATTAGTCAGTGAGACTAACTATTCATGTGTGATCAATAAAACACACAAGGAACTACCTTCAGGAGTCAGGGTGGAAAAACGCTAACTTTAGGGCTGACTTTAATCCTGCTGCCACCAGTATCCCTGGGACTATTGCCCTTGACTTTACCAGGAGCAAAACTGAATCTGTGATGAATTAGCTACTGACAGGTTATTTTATACTAGACAAAGGAGAGCTCTGTGCTTTCTAGTCAACAAATGGAAATGAACAGTGCCTATTATAAAGGTGGTGAAGAAGACCCATAGAAGTATTGTCTGGGAAAACCCAGCTATGAATATGATTCTAACGTGTGGAGCCTTTTGGTTTACCCTATTCTCATTTCATAACCAGAACTTTGTGGTCTCAGCAGTCAGAGTCAGGCTTGAAGGTTAATCTCACAACTGGCACTGAAGCCTGTGTTCTACAAAACTTTTAGGTCCTGAGAAGCCAGAGTGTGAATTCAAGAGAAACTATCTTGGGGTTGCTTGAAGTGAACAAAGAGTGTTCTCTGGCTCTGTCTTCTTTCAGCTGCCTTTTATTTGTTGATGGGGAAATACCCCATGGAGTATTTCCTTGGACTTCTCTTTCGTGTGTTTCACTTGTCTCCTAGCATATGCAGGGGTCCACCATCCTCCTTTGTGAAATACTGTCTCGTGTCCCAGGCAGCCAGAGGGTAGGGCTTCCTGACTGTCAGGGCAGCTCCAGTATAGGTGATGGCTGTAGACTTGGTGTCTTTAGGGCTCCCTGTAACAGCTGTTGTTCATATGGTAGATTTCCATCATCCCCTCTCCCAGTCTGGGCCTTTATGACTTCTGCAAAGGTGCCTCAGCCAAAGTAACGCTGCGGTCAATGGACAGTTTTCTGAAGTAGCCTCCTTATCTCATGGGCACCAGAGAAGAATGTAGGCTATAGCAGCATGCTGCTGTGGAGTTGGGGGTGAAAAAAGACTTCCTGATCAGTTTTTTGAATTTTTTTCAAGCAGTTGAGTTTGTCAAGCCCCTGGGCATGCCTAGGGTTTGAGGGTTTTAAAATCATTTCCAAGGGGATTTTGATCTACTTGTTTTGCAAATAACGCCTTTCAGCATTTTTATTATGTTTTATCCATTTGACTACTTTGCCTCAGAAAAAGGGAAGGAAAAATTTTAAATATGTAAAGAAAAGAATGCATGATTTGAAGCATAAACTTTTTTCAAAATTATGTTTGTTATGGTTGCCTTGCAGTGGGAATTAATATTCAGACAGTCACTAGTTAGGGAGCAAGATGTAGTGTAGATCTGTGTTTTTCCTGTGCCACACACAGTCAGGTCAGACCAGAAGGTCTGAACCAGGAGATCTAGCTGGGACAATAAATCGTTAAGACAGCTTTTTTATTATGTTATCATGCTATAACTAAACATATTTAAGAAAAAGTATAAGGAAAGGTCACTTTTTAATTAAAAAGATGGTAATTCTGTTCCCCAGTTTTATCTAGGGTTTTTAATCATGAGCTCAAGAAGTCTTTTTATGAGATGTCTGTTACTGAGATGCTGATGGAGGCCCAGGCACAATTTTACATCCCAGCCCCAGCACCTCCCAAGAAAGGTGAACCTTTCTTGCCCATCAGAACATTTTGCATCAATGGGCTTTAATCTTTCTAAATTGGTGCACAGTTACCTGTGCATTTTTCCCATGGAAGTGTGGAGATCATTTAAGACGTTTCACTAAGTAGATTCCTGTATAGAATAAATAAACCTGCTCTTCTTAGCTGCCTTTCACAGGCCTCTTGCTAATAGTTCCCAGGTCTTCTGTGGACCACAGATCAAAAACTGCCATGAGTTTAGATTATTGAGAGAGAGATTCTTTACCAGCTAATGCACTTTTCCTTTCTGGTTCATCTGCATTAGCTCAATGCCACAATGTTTAGGCTTCAAACTTCGTAAGGGAATGTCTAATCAAAATAATAATAATTGATTCTCAAAAGAGTTTTCAAAACCTACATTTTTGGCTTCAACGAATTGCTGGTATTACAAACATATGTCTGTATTACAGAGCAGCACAAGGAGGGCCTTGACTCAGCTCAGCAGTTTAGAACACACTTAAAATATGCTCAACTTCAGCTTCTAAGTGCTTTGCTCTCTTGGGACCAAAGGGTATGATCCTGGCTATGGCTGAACCAAAAGGAAGCTTGCCATATGGTTGAATCGGAGAAAGGATGGACCCATAGGCCATATATTTATTGCTAAATATTACAGTTGTGTCTGTTAATTTGAAATTGAACTTCAATGGCTTCATACTTTGTGAAAATCTGATAAATTCTCCTAAATTAGTATTGTTTAAATTACCAGATATTGGACAGTTTAATGGCTGATTCACCTGCCTTCAATCCTCTTATCTTCAACACATAGACTTCCACTGCAAGTTTGCAAAGATGAAGCAAAACTTTCAATAGTAATTGTGAATTTAGTATGCTGAGGCCCACAACTTTAGAGTCAGGTGCTAAGATGCTTTGTCCTAGGCCATTGGTAGTTCTGGAAGTTTTGTTTATGGATAGTCTGTGTGTCCTGAGTTGTACCACCATCACCAGTTAATTACCAGTTCCTTCTGTGATGTGTTTCACTGAAGACCAAACCCAGATAAGCTCTGAGAGCCTTCAGTCATTGCTAAAATTTTTGATGGAGAGTGCTGTGCACCTTGCAAGATTGTGGCCAGAATTCAGTTCATGAAAGAGTTATATTCATTCACTTCTGAGAATAAATTTTATTGATCTATTTTCAATTTGTTTTTAAGAAATGCTTTATTGCATTACTGAAAGTATTTTGCTGGTTTTTATGGTGAATTAGTAAGGTGTAGCTAATGCTTTGAGAACATTTGTGCTGGACAAAATAAGAGTATGCTCCCGGATAGCATGTTTTACTGGAAGGTTGAGCTCTGATGCATTTTTTTGCTTGGAGATGCTGTCACACTCTCATTAAGTTGACAAAAAAACCCTCTCGTTGATTAAGAGGAAGTGAACTCAGGCCCTTGGTGAAGCATCTTCAGGCTTTAAACTCAGCATCTTGAAGCAGTTCAGAGTGAATTTCTCAATGTTGCAGTAGAACAGGCTGCATCAGCCTTAGCTGACCTTGGCTACAGCGTGATTTTCACCTCATGAATGCCATAATGCTCCTGGAAAGCCAAGAATAGACATCAAAGACAGGAAGCTAATAGTCCTGGTCATAAATTTCTTTGGCAATTCAGTCCACCTTTTCCGGAGCTCAAGACAGTTCCACATCCTTCACTACCCTCCTCTGTGTTTCACAGTAGCCATGTAGCTGGTCTGTTTCTTTAAATAAAGCAGTTGAGGTTATTTTTTCTCATATTCTCCCAGAGTAGAGTGAATGCTCGTCAATTCCCTGTTTTTTTCATGCTCTTTTCTCTAGCTTCTGAAGTACTTTGAAAAGAGACAGCCATTTTCCATTATTTAGTCAGAAATGCTCCAGTGAGAGGTGGCTTTTACAAAATTTCAGCTGTTGTTCATTGCTGCTGTGCTGCTCAGCTGCCAGCACACCTTGCTTTGGCCCACGGCCACACCAGCCAATATCTCAGATCTAGACCCAGAATCTTCTGATGTTGCCTGTGTTCTAACCAAGTGGAGTTGAAAAATAGGATTGAACAAATACTTTCTGAAGTTTAATCTGAATTTTGCAGCTGGCATCCTGTCCTTTTAAAAACACCCAAGGCTGGCACCGTAAATTGTGGTTTTAGAAGCTGTCCCATTCAAGCTAAAATGATTACCGGGTGCTACTGGGCTCACAGAAAATGCAGTTGTCCAAGCATGGTGACATGATGTCAGGTGGTGCCAGCCAGTTGTTTTTTTTTTGGTTTTTTTTCACTTTTTACTTTAATTGTTGTTGCTATAAAATGACATCAGATCTAGTGACCACACTCCCCAAAGCAGGGCAGGACAGAAAATCAAGTCTCTTATGGTACATTACCTTTTCTGTTTGTTAGGAACATGCCCTAGTAACTTTTCTCACAACAGTGAGCAATGAAGGCACAAATTTCAGCAAAGTGCATGTTCTGTTGGAGGCAGTTTTCACCCTTTTTAGAAACAAGGAAATACAGAAGTTACATTTTGGAGTATATTTTTAAGGACATGCTGGAAAAAGTTTCATCTTAGATGTCTGGTGTGTGCCCCCCTGCCCTTCCCCACCCCTGCCTCTTTCTTGCTGTTGAAAGAACAAAAAGATTTGTGTGTGTGTGAAACCTTTAAAGTGGAAGAATAGAAGTGTTTGCGCTGTGCATATCCCTGCTTAGAGACAGAAATGAATTCAGATGGCTTGAGGCCTGTATTTTTTCCGTTCTCAGATACCTTTTAACATCCGAGCTCTAAGACTGATGGAAGATTATTTTTGACAGTAAAACAAATAGCTGTTTGTGAGAGACCTCAGACCTGGCTGTCCTCAGGGGTCAGCAAGCTGTGCAGCAGACTTTGATAGTGTCTTTTCTCTTCTAGAGCATGACGGGGAGCCAAAGCACTGTGGTTTGCCCCAGTGAAGCCTTAAGTCTGGCACAAATGCAGCTCTCCATTTATCTCACCCCTAGAGGACGAAAGGATAAAGGTTAATGTTCGTGTTTTCATGAGGTTACTGCTGGTTTTGATCAAGAAGGTAACACTGCCACGGCTTTGAGGCCTTCTTCTAGTGTTTAATTATGTCCAGTGTATAATTACATAGACTGTTCTATTATGCTATTACTTCTTCCAGAATTTACCTTTCAGAATGCCTCCTAACTGACATACGTCAAATTTACAGCATACAAAACTAGCTTTCAAAAGGAGAGGCTTCACTAACCACTAAGTTAATATTCTGCATCAAAGGCAAAATATTCTAAATATTAGAACACTGTTAAAGTTTGTATGTTAAGCTATAGTACTTCAGAAATCTTACAGGGATTCATTAGGTGTTAAATCTTTGAAAGGTTAAAATCCACTCTGTGTGAACTGTTGCTTGGTGTTTCTGTCATGTGAATGTTTCTAGAGGACACTTGAGCAAGCAAAGAAAGTGTACCAAAAAGGGTATTTAAAAAGATAATCTTGTTTTAATGGTTTCTTTTGTAATTTCAACTGGTATGCACAGGGAACACACAGTTCTTCCCCTCCCCCCAAAAAAACTATGAAGAGAGGTTCTGCTAATGTTATACTAAACCATCAGCAGACATAATGAGCACAGCTATGTTGGCTCGTACTGGGTGATGATCTGGACTTCTCTGTGCACTGTGTGTGCAGAGTGGCGGAGGAACAGGCCGCCTCTGAAAAGCCAACACCACAGTTACCAGCCAGTGGTCATTTGTCTTGGTGCCATGTGAGATGATAAATGTGTCCTCTCACATTAAGTGTCTCCCTGATGTAGCTTTGTGGCAGATGTTGTGATGACTTCTGCAGTATGGGATGCGAGGGATGAAAAGATCTGTTGAGAATGTAGGGAAAATATCTGTGCAGTGGAGATAGGGAGAGAGAAGAGGGAAGATGCTCAGGGATTGATTATGCTCCCAGGATGATACTGTTGACTGTACAGAGGATGGGAAACAGCTCCTTCTGCAGAGCACACGGTCTTTATTGTTCAACGTCTGCTTTCTCAGTGACTCAGCAGAAAGTTTATTCACCTTTTAAATCCCACATAGACCCCTAACCAAAAATTGAAAGGGGATGTAAGTGGTGCATGGGACCTGCTCAGGGTGTACTGTGCCCTTAGGCTGGGTATTTACCTACCAGCAATGACTGTGCAGGTCTTAGAAGTCCTGAGAAGACTTGGGTAGAAATGCAGGATGAAAGCAGTGGGTAGAATTCGGTGTGTTTCTTGTGCATAGGGTGTAATTATCACAAAACTAAGAGGACTCAGGATAGACAGTGTGGACGTTAAATTTGTCCCATTTTTTCGGTGATACTGTTCATTATTAATGTAAAAATACGGGACAACAGAGAAATCTAGTACCAGTCTAGTAGAAAACAAATGGAAATCTGCACAGTATGTTGTACTGATGTAAGTAAAACTATCTGCATATAATGTGATTTTATTTATTGTTGTTTTTGTGTAGAGGAGAGTGCATATTCATGACTGTGGATATAACCTTTGTTTATTTGTGTAATGTATTTTATTTCTTTTATGACTTGATCATTTAAAATATCTGCATTCATTGGTGTCCTTTGACTTTTTATTCTGTGCATTTTCTTTCACACATTTTAAAAATGCAAGAATATCACATAACCTAAATTGTAACAAAATGTTTCCATTAAAGGTGTAGGAATATGTTATCACCTGTTTCTGTGTTGTCTTTTGTCATCTGTTTACTACGTTCTCAGGTTGTTTCATATAGAGGGTACTATCAGATGGTATGGAGTTAAAACCAGGAAGGTTATTCTGAGTCTAAGACACCATATAAATGCCTGATTTTAATGATGATTAGCAACTAATTAAATCAGGAATCAATCTAACCTTGCTTTGGCAAGAAAATCCCCCCCGGAATTTTAAGGTCTGGGAAAGGTTTTAATCAGTGTAAACAAACTTTTGAGTATTTATTCTTAGTCCTGAAATGCATTTTAATAGGAAGCAAATTATTTAAATACATTGGAACTTTAACTAGTAAGCACTGATTTTTATAGCCTGCAGAGAGGCAGTAATTAGACATTTTACTAAGCTACAAGTTCGTTTTGCAGCAATTTTATCAAATTGCGGGAATTCAATTCTGTTTCTTTCCTGTGCTTTTAAATAGTTTTCAAGTTATCCTGTTTTGTCTAGCCCTCTGCTTTCTGTATGCATGTGTCTGTTGTAGCAGTGTTGCCAAATTTAAGATTTGTGCTTGAGAGTGTGCCAGGCCTTTGTAATCTAAAATAACTTGGAAATGAGTGTGAGGAAGAAATATCTGATCACAACTGTATCAAACCCACAAGTACCAAGAATTCACTGGGGGGTTGATAGAGAGATGGAAGCATCCTGTGGGTTAACTATGAACCTAAAATCTTTATGCAGCCCAGGAAATAAAAAAGCAAAGAGCAAAAATACAGGCTTGGAGAGGCCCATTCATTTAGGGCAAGGTTGAACTACTTTCCTAGCTGCAGTGCCTTTCACTGGTGAATCTCTGCATTTGCCACTTAATTTCATTAACACCATACTCCCAACAAGGCAATTAATATTACTAGTTTCTTCAGTTGATTAAAGGTGCAAAGAGATTAACTTTCCAAAATTATAGAAAGTATTCCTGATATGGGTAAGAATTTAGATGATTTTAAATTTGCCTCCTCAGAGATACACACTTCTAATTACATGAATGTTTTACAGATAGAAATTACTATTTCTCCTGCTTTTGCCAGATGATTATGCTCTTATCTCATCATCCCATTGCAAACAGGAATTCTGTGGAAGTACCTAGCGATTTTCCAGTATTTCTGTATAAGGCACAGTAGAAAAAATTACGCAAGTATGTTTTGTGTTCCTGATAACTGCAGTAATCATTAAAGGTGTTTTATGATATTTTCAAAAGTACACATTTTAAATGCCATCTCCAGTTTGTTTAGAAATTTAAGATTCTAGTCAGGATAAACTAAAGATTAGTTTATTAAGGTTTACTAATATTCTAAGTTTGCTATAGCTGAGATCAGTAATGATACGAGCTTTAATGCTGCTGTATTGTAGCACTACATTGTCAGGGAAGACAGCAGGAGAAAGTTTTGACGTTTCCATTCATTGATAGCAGTGGAAAAAGGTATCATGAGCTTCCATAAAATAAAGTTTTTACTCAGGCTTGGGAATATGGCATGAGAGATTGTTGACTGATTTTATGTTCAGTATATGACCCTCAGGGATGTCCAACATGTCACTGCCTTCACAGTGGCAGGACTTTCTTGACTGTCACTATATTTTCTTGTCTCATGTCTTATCCTCCAACATGAATGTTTGAGATATGTGTGATGAATTGTGTACATGTATACATACCTCAATATTTATGACACAGTTCATCCAAGTGTGTCAGGTGTCCTTTTTGTCAGAGTATCAACCAGTCTGACAGGTAAAAATTTCTTTGGTGAAATTATTTACGGCAATTGATCTTCAGTGGTAGGAGCTTTTGGATATCGTTCTAGGTATCCTGTAACCTAGCTCAACACATTTTTGTGGCTTTCTTAAGAAACTATTTTTTAGGGAACATTCATCACATTTCTGAAAAATTATGGTGGCATTTGAGCCAAATCTTGGTCTTGAACCTCAGCCAATGTTTTCTTGAGTTGAAAGAGCACTGCCAATAAAAAGTAATTGTACAACTGACAGAATGTCTTTTGTTGCCTCCTAGGAATAACCGTAATTTACAGTCTGTAATGCCAAAAAGGGTCTCCCTGTGTACACATGCTACGCTTGGTAAATTTTCCTGAGTCATCTTAGAATTGGTTTGATGGTTTTCAGTCCTCTGCCTCAGAAAAACAGAGTATCTTTTTTCCCCTTCTATAAGTAATTTCTCTGACCACCCTTTTGTTTTAGCAGTGCAGTGGTTTATTATCAGTGTCTGTTACTCCTTGACATTACCATTCAATTTACACAGTAAACCTTGGCTTTCAAATTTTTGATATATGTATATCTAGCTTAGAATCTAGCTGATGGCAAACACTGTAACCATGGATTTATGTCTGTCCAGGACAGAAGGGGACTTGGGACACTCATGTCTATGGAAGCTCTGTTCTTCTCCCACCTATATTTCTACAGTACCAAAGCAATTTCCCCAGCCTGCTTGTCCTGGTTCTGGCAGGGCTGGGGCTAAACCACAACACTTCTCTATTCACAGTACTCAGTGTGTGAACAGCCACCAAAGGCCAACTGCTATTGTGCTGACTATGAGCCAGCAAGCCTCACAACTGGTTATTTCTCCTTCTTTCTCACTTTTGGGATCTAGCAGGCTAATAGCACACTTACACCGCACAAAACATCCAGGAGGAGCAGTGCTTGTGCCTCTTCCTCCCAGCTCTTGCCTTGTGTTAGAGTAGTAGTGGTGTGACTGGTGGAAAATCAGTGTCCTGGGTTTGGATCAGGGATAGAACTGCAGTTTTTCTGCCTCCTAAGAGAATAATACGAACATGAATGCTATTTGTGAACCAGTCTTGCTGAATTCATTTACTGTTGTATAAAAAATGAAAATGCCTGAAGTAAAGGCATTTAAAAATAATTTTCCCATAATCTGAGTGCCTAGACTACCAGACTACAGCAGCTATTTCTCACTTCTCTTGCTGCAGCAGAACAATTTTTTTATTGTCATTTAGCCTTGAAAGGGAAAGAATGAGAAAGCAGATATATAAACACTATAGTGCAGGGGCCATTCTGACTTTCAGCAATGGATTTGCTGAATTTATTTTGTGGATTTAAATCCCTCTTCAAACTGAGCAGAAGATAGGTATGATCTGGGGCAGGCTTGTTACAGCTTTGGCAACTGGTATTTACTAAAAGGACAGTAGTAGGAACAATCCATCTGAGTACAACTTATGTGTTCTGGCCAAATTAGATGCCTGAATCAAGGACTTGGACTAATGTCTCTCACATCTGAAGAAGGAGAAAGAAGGAGAAATCCTTTCATGCAAGATTTCTTCAGAACAGGGGAAGGGATCCCACTTGCTGCCATTTGATTACTGCAGTGTTTCATGGGATATTGTCTGCAGTAACAGCTTAAGAAATACCTTTCTTTCTTAAGAAAATATACTTACGAAGTACCTGTCATTCTCAGACGTCAAAGGAACTGACCCATTGAAAAAGTGTTGATAAACCACCTCAATTAAGTTAGGAAGAACAAAAAGCATGGCAACAGTTAGATGAGTACAGGAAATTAAACTGGAGGAATTAGGCTACTGAGTATTGACTGAAAAAAAAAAGGTGTTATAGGTAGGGGAGATCAAGGCTTTGGTCTCTGTTCTCAGAAGAGATTTAGCAGAGCAGAGGACTGGCCAGTATCCAGCCTCCTACCCTCCCGGGAAAGAGAGAAATGAGGCCTTCTACTGGGTCCTGGGAAGTTTTAGGGAAGAAATAACGGAGCCTGTCAGGAAGGCACCAAAAGGTTTAAAGAATGTGGACTAGTCTCTGCCTTTTTGCCTGCCTTCTTAAACAGAAATAAACTTCGAACCACCTGGGATTCACCCAGCACCAGTTATAAATAGGAATAATGGAGTAAAGACATCAAACAAAGGAAAATGTAGGCTATGTATCAGGAAAAATTGCATAAGAGTGTGATCTATTAGCTCTCAGGCACCCCTCCCAAAGGGGGTGGGGGTGGAATTTCTGTTGCTCAAAGCATTAAAACCCCAAGCCCTTGGGAGTGTGCTGCAGGAACAATCCCGCACTGACTAGAGGGAGGATGAGGTGATTTAACTGGTGGTCATTTCCACCTCCAAATCCCTTTTATGTACATGCCAGGATGCCTTCAGTGACAAGCTGCAGTTCAACGCCAGAGCTGAAAGCAGCCTGGACACAGCTCGAGAGAATGATTCAGAAGTAGACGGGAAAGGAGGTATAGAAAGAGGGGCGGGGGGGTCAATTTAACCGAGACAAGCCAAGTCCATAAAAAATTTTCCAGTTCAGTTTGGGATGAGAACTGAGGCTGAAACAAAGAAAGAGTGGTTAAGTGATACCATCATTCCTTGAATATTTATAGATGCATGTCACATGTCAATAGCAAGTATGTTAAAGCCTCATTAAAATTGTTTTCTTAGTCAAGGCCTGAAAAGTTAAGACAGGTATTAAGGGCTTCTGCCTCCAACACAGATACCACTGCTCTGTAAGCCCTCACCTGGGTCTGACCAAGGGAAGGAAATTCTTCCCCTGCCTGAGCTGCAGCTGAAACAAAAGTTTCCACCAGCACCAGCAGCAAACACTTAATTTCCTTCTCCCTACAGCTCCCCCTTCTCTGCAAGAAAATAAAAATGGAGAAATAACTTTTCCTAATCACGCATGTCTGCATATGAGATCATGTTTTGTTTCACCCCTTTACATTGTCAGTCCTTGCTCTTGTCCCTCCTTTCATCACTTGTTTTCAGTCATTTTTTCCCTTTATTTCCTCCATCATCCTCTCTAGTCCCTCTCTACTCTTCCTTCCCTCTGCCTGCCAGTTTTCCTAAGTGCTTGCTTCCTCTTTCTTTAAAGCTATTTTTAAAATTGTTGTTGTCTTGTTTTAAAGAGTCCACCTGGATTGTCCACGCCTGGAGAAAAAGCCTCAGCCAAGCTGGCAACCTGAGGCAACAAATCTCTGGCCCAGGGGCCTTTTCTTTGGGTCCACCAGGCTGTGCTG